ACCTATGGTATTAGGGTGCCTTCCAACTTTTAGGGGTTCTTTTTCTTTAAAAAAAAAAGATGTTTATTTTGAAAGAGAGCGTAAGCAGGGAGAGGAAGGGAAGGAGATGGAGAGAGAATCTGAAGGCCTGATGTGGGGCTTGATCTCACAATCAGGAGATCATGACCTGAGCTAAAACCAAGAGTCAGACATTTAACTAACTGAGCCACCCAGTCGCCCCAAATCCTTTTTTTAAGTTAAGCTCTACACCCAACCTGGGGCTCAAACACACAACCCTGAGATCAAGAGTTGCATGTTCTACCAACTGAGCCAGCCGGAAACCTCCAAAAATGACTTGCAGACTTCAAGCCCCTCTATCTTAATTCTTTAGCTAGTATCTCCTTTAAGAAATAGGTCAAGCTTTTACATAGTGACTGTACAACTGAATTCAATGAAATTTAACATGGACACAGCATTTTTAAATGTGTTCAATATTCAAGTTTCTCTGATCATCCCAGCTTCTTTTAGAGCATGTTTTTTATTTCAGAACCATGAATTCCCTTAATTGTCTTTTTATTCTCCTTTATTCGGCTGTAGGTCCTGGATCTTTCTTTCATGACATCGACATTTTTCAAGGGAACAGGTACCTTGTTTTATAGAATGTCCTCCTTTGGGGCTAGTCAGTTTCTCAGCCTCATGACTCAGGTTTTGCGATTTTGGCAGAGTAGCACAGAAGGGATATATCCTTCCCAGTACATCACATCAGGAGGCACTGAGGCCAGTTTGTCTCATTTGGGTAATGTTAAGTTTAATGAGTTGTTAGAAGTGGTGCATAACCATGACTGGTTTCTCCACTGTAAAGGTATTTACACCCTCTGCAAAATAGTAAACATTCTATCGGAGGAAATGTATGTAACTAGCATGCTACCTCACACACTCTCACCCAACTCAGTGGTTCTGGCGTCCATTGCTGTCAAGATGAGTTAGTCTTATGGTTGCAAAATGGTGTTTTTCCGAACTCTATTGCCCCTTTTCTATCAGTTACCATGCTACTGTAAGAAAGGGCCTAGAAGAATGCATTATGCTAGGATCCTTTTCCCATTCCTCCTCTACATCTTTACTCTCTGCTTGAAATGCCATCCTTCCCTCCCCACCCCCACACCTGGCATATCCTGCCCATCTTTGAAGCCCAGATCCAGGGTCACCTTGTCTCAAAGCCTTCCCTGCCCCAGTTGGGCAGGTAATCCCCTCACTCTGCCTTTCCCTGCAAGATGGGTTGCAGGTGTATGGCCTTCTCAAGCCCCCCACCTCCACCCCAGGGCCGGGAGAGACTGTGGAGGGAAAACCCTCCCTCACATAGCAAGAATCCCACCCCCAGCACTGCCTGACCCAGCACAGTGGTTCTCAAACTTTAGCCCCAGAATCCCCAGGAGGTCTGGGGAAAATGCAGAAGATGCCTGGGCCTTACACTGGATTCTGATGCAACCCAAGCATCTCACTGGCTTAACCAGTTTGTTTCTCCTTCAGATCACGTGCAAAATGCAGGTTGGCACAGAGTCTGGCCCATGTGGTCCTGGGCAACTCAGGGTGAAGGAGGCCACACTAACCTGTCCCCGCCTTTCCACCTGCCCTTCAGGGGAAGGGAGGGGCATGGGGAGTCGGGCACGGATCTCTCTCTGCTCACAGCCTCCAGGCCAGAACTAATCATGTGCCTTGTTCCCTGCAGAGTGGCTGGGAAGCATGGGGCTCAGAGGGACCCCTCGGTGAGCATCCTGGCTTCCTGGTCACCACCGTGTTCCCCTTCTCTGCCAGCAGGTGGGTCTTCTTTCTGCTCCTCAAACACACCAAATGCATTTCTGGCCTTTGTGCCTTTGCACTGGCTGCTCTCTGCCCATGTGGTCTTGTGCCAGATCTCACATGGTTGACTCAAGTGCCACCCCCCTGGAGAGGCCTTCCCTGACTGCCACCCACTCCCTCACAACACCCCACTAGAATTCTCTGCACGGCCCTCCTTAAGCCATGTTCGGTGCCATCTTTCTCCCACTAACAGACTGTACACTCCGTAAGAGTAGAAGCGACTCCAATCCCCACAACCTAGAACAGTGCCCGGCACACAATAGAGAGTCAAGCAAGCTGATTCAACAGATTAACCCCTAAGTATTTTACTGTTCACATCTTGCAGGTTAAGAAAAGAGGCCCCAAAGACAATATGCGGCTCCCTCAAGGTCACACCAGGACCAAACGGCAGCACCTGGTTTGGAATGCATGCTTCAACGGACGAATGGATAAGGAAGATGTGGTCCATATACACCATGGAGTATTATGCCTCCATCAGAAAGGATGAATACCCAACTTTTGTAACAACATGGACGGGACTGGAAGAGATGATGTTGAGTGAAATAAGTCAAGCAGAGAGAGTCAATTATCATATGGTTTCACTTATTTGTGGAGCATAACAAATAGCATGGAGGACATGGGGAGTTAGGAGAAGGGAGTTGGGGGAAATTGGAAGGGGAGGTGAACCATGAGAGACTATGGACTCTGAAAAACAATCTGAGGGTTTGAAGCGGCGGGGGGGGGGGGGGGGGGTTGGGGGGACCAGGGGGGGGGTATTAGAGAGGGCCTGGTTTCTAAAAACTCTGATGACCCCCCCCTGCCCTTGGTTTTTAAAAAAAAAAAAAAAAAAAAGCTTTTTATTTCAGAGGAGCAGGGAGGAGGGGCAGAGGGAGAGAGAATCCTAAGCAGACTCTGCAGTGACCACGGAGCCCAATGTGGGCCTCAATCCTATGACCCTGAGGTAACGACCTGAGCTGAAATCAGGAGTCAGATACTTACCTGACTGCACCATCCAGGCGCCTTCTGCCCCCGCAGAAGTTTTTTAACACAACTCTGTGGAGGGCAATTTGGTAAAATCAATCTAGGAATTTATCACACAGATGTGCTCACATATGCTTAAGATTACATACATGCAAATTTTTTTTCGTTGCAGTGCTGTGATAGAAAAGGCCAGAAGGAACTCCGTGTGTCGCCATAGGGCACTGGGGCCCGGGAGCGTGACTGTATCCCCCGTGGGTACGTGTGCATAGTGGAACAGTGCAGCCCTAAAAGGTAGGGAAGATCTTCGGGTTCCAGCTGGACAGGTGTCTAAGGGACAGCACCGTGAGGAAAGGGGTGGTCGGAACAGCATGGAATGTAGATGGCTTCCATTTAATCTTCTGGAAGAGCTGAATAGCTTTACGTCTCACATAAATGGAAAAGACAAAAATGAAACACAAGCCAGAATCCCAGTGTGGTTTCCATCACTTGAACTTCTTTTATTGATATTAGAGAATAAAATTTTTGTTTTTGTTTTTGTTTTTTGATGCATGACAACACACTCTGTTGGTGGTGGTTGCACAAGGTTGATCATTAACTATACTAAATACTGCAACCTCCGAATTGCTGATTTTTACACTGATATTTCCTTTGTGGTGATGGGTGGCTCCTCTCTGAATACATGAAGTGGTCTGTTCAGTTTGTGGTTTTCATATTCCTTTGTTATTCTACCTACTGCTTTAAAATACATTCCAATACAAAGAATTTCCTTGCAGTGAGTGCACGCATACAACCACGAGGGGAGCTGAAAATAATGAACCAGCCCTCTGCCTCGAGTTCTGAGAATAAGTAATCTAGAAGGGTGGGACTGGAGCTTGCTCTTTTGAGATGTTCTCAAAGTCTTCAGTGGGCATGTTTACACTCAATTGGACACATTTTTGCCAGGGTGCGGGGGGGGGGGGGGCTCGGGGAACAGGGGATGGCAACAAGACAATTTCATCTGCATATGATGTCACCCTTCCACAAATGCCTGGAACAAAGGACCAGGGAGCACTGTGCTGGGCAGTACAGCCCTCAGGTGAGAATAAATAAGTTACCTGCTCAGAGTGGAAGGCCACAGACACACTGTGACCAGAACTGGAGAGGACAGCACACACACATAATAAATAAAAGTTCAGAACTTGGTCAGTGACGGCAACAGGATCAGGCTCCCCTCTGTTCATTTCTGGTTCTTCCCACGAACACCTCTATCTGTTCCTAGGGATAAATAGTGGCACACGGAGACCAAGGCTTTGGTGGGGCAGGTGGCAGGAGAAAAGATCGTGTAGTGACCACTCTGTCCTGAAACACGAGGGCAAGGTGTGCGGGCATCAGCTGTGTGCGTAAAAACCACGTACATGGGAGCACGTGGGCCAGCTTCCGACGTCACAGCAAGGACTGCCTCACTGCCCTTGTGAACCAGTTTGGCATTACCTTTGGGGGTGGTTCTTTTTACTTTTCCCGTGGACACCTTCCATCCACGCCCTTCTCCCCTGACCCCCTTTCCTTTTCACCCTATTGTGAAATTTGTCTTGGGTCTGGTCTTAATCTGGTTGTGATCCTGGGTCCCCAAACTCCACTGATATCTCACGAGCGACTGGGTGTGTGTGAAACGGATTTCCGTGTCCCAGAGCCACAGAGAAAACAGAGACTGCGACTTTCCATCTAGTACCGTTACTTCCCTGCATATAAAAAAATGGAAAAAATAAGACCTCACACAGAACACAGCGGGAGTGTCAATACATTCTTTCAGGTCTGACGTCTGGCCTGCGGACCGAGGACAGGACATCGAAGGATGACTCAGGTTGAAGGCATGGAAAGAAAAAGTCACACCTCAAAAAAGAAGCGACTCTCCATTGAAGCCGAGTGAAGGTCTTGAGGAAGCTGGGCCACCCGGAAGAGGAAGTACAGCCCTGCCATCCCGGAAGCTACATCAGCTGCGTGTGGCCGCAGACGGAGGCTTGGCGGCTCCCCCAGGGTGTGGGAGGCGAGGCGCCCAGCGACACAGGCCGCGTACCAGCTCGCAATGTGTGGCACTGGGAGCCAGCCACAGATTTACGGGTTTCCTATCCATGGGATAAGAACGCACTTGGGAGTTTCAGTGTTTCTCGAAGGAGAGAACAGGACACCCGCCTGCCCTTTGTCTCGGGCTAGCACAGGTGAAGTCCCGGTGAGAGCAGGGATGGTGCTGGGGGCCCCTCCCACGGGATTGGGAGAAAGGGCAGATGGACACAAGGTCTTCAAGTCCTATGTACACACTTTACAAAGTCTCCACTCTTCCCCCAATAGGCACGAGGTTGATTTGTCTAGCTCAGAGGGGAGGGACAGAGGAGGAAAGAGGGAGTGCGCAGTGCAGAATGGGGGAGGAGAGGGAGGCAGGAGCAAGCCTGGTCTCCTCCAGGGGAAGGGCTCCCCTCCCCTCCTCACCGTAAGCTAGTTTGTTTGGGGAGCTTAGCACCCATCAAGATGCCCGAGGTGAGAGTCACAGGGGCTTTCATCTGCATGCTGGACCCCACCATGGTGGGGAAGCTGCGGTTCCTCCGGATGCCGCTGTTGAGCTGCAACCCACCCATGGCACTGGTGACGGTGGGGCATCCGAGGGGCAGACCCTCAGGGACCAGGCCACCAGGGACGAGGGCCTGGGCGGGGCCCGGAGGCCCACAGAGGAGAGGTCCCTGATCCTCAGTCAAGGTGGGGACGTGGGCTCGCCCTGAGTTCACCACTTTGGCCACGCCAAACCTCCTGACTTTGTCCACGAGGTTGAGGTTGGAGACAGACACGTCTGTCTGGCTCTCGCTGCTCCGCAAGTTCTTCTTTTCCCTCACTTCCCGCAGGATGGAGCTGGCCGGCTTGGAGGCCAGGAAGTTGTCATAGGGAGGGCTCGTGCACTTGAACTCAAAGGAGGGTGGGGAGGACGTGGGCGTCTGCATAGGTGAGTTGGGTGGGGTGGAGGGGATCACAGCCATCCTGGGGGTATAGGAGTGCAGGACGGAGCCCCGGCCGGCCCTGTCCCAGCTCTGAGGATCATACACGGCCGCGGAAATGCCCCGCTCCTTCAGCAGCCACACCAGCCCCAGAGACGTGCTCATGGTGGTCGTGGACTCACGGATGTTAGTGAAGGACTCGGCCAGGCTCAGTCTCCGTGGAGTGCATGGGGTGGCCACCGGCGTGGACTTCAAGTGGCTGGCGCTGCCACAAGCTGGAGTTGGAGCCAAGTTAAGGCTGATAAAAGACAAAAGGTCATTCATCAGAAAATGCCCATAAGCCCCTGGGAACAGCTTGTGGCCAGTCTCCTGCAGGGGCGCAGGGAGGAGTCCCCCAACCCAGGCTCCCCAGATACCTCTTTCCCTGTCTGTTCCTCCCTCCTACCCAAGAGGGCTCTGGGTTCCCTTGCAGGGGGCATGGAAATGATTCCCTTGTCTCAGCCCCAGAAGCGGGGCTAACTGTCCCCTTTGCAGGTGAGGAAAGTCGGACTCAGAGGTTAGGGGGCTAGTCAATGTCACACTCAGCTATTAAGTGGAAGACCCAGGATTTGAGCCCAAGTCTGAGGGCTCAGGCCTCAAGGATGGGGGTGGGGAGAGCCCCTCAGCAGAGAGGCTTCCTTTCCCTACCAAATGTAATCAAATTTCAGCATTCCTTCCTAATGACTACTTCCCTGAAGCCAGAAGTTAACCAGGGCTCTGGGATCCGAGAGCTCATCTTGGGAATGGCCCCAGGAGGTGGGACACCCAGGTGGAGGGCCCCTGAGTGATGGGGAGATGGAGACTGAGGGTGTGCATCACGTCAGCAGCAGACCCCTGCCTCCTGACCCCTACTGTAGGCTCTTCCCTCTGTGCCACACTACCCCTTCGTCCTCCTCCCGTGGTTGCTGAGTTCACCTCAGGGGGTGGAGATGTGGGGTCAGCAGCAGCCATGTCAGATAACATCAGGCCTACATCTGTGGAACGATCTAGAAAAGGCTCATGGCATATATGAAGCCTGCATCAAAGGAAAGCCTTCTTTCCCAAAGATTTCTTCATCCACCCCTGCTATGGTGGCTGAGGACCCAGGATGTTCCAGAAGCTGGGGTCCCGCAGTAACAGGAGTTAGGAAAGAATAGTGTAACGGTGCTGTAGGGAGAAAGGCCCTCTCTTAACAGCTGGTACAGGGATGGGGCTGGGAGGCCACTTAGGCACAAAGGCCATTCACAGTTGCTGGATGAACCAGCAAGGGCAAAGCAGCATACCCCTCTCCTTATAGTGTTGTGAGCCCTGTCTTGCTACCCACCCAAGGACACGGCAGGAGCTGTAGGTGCCCCCTGGAGCAGCCAGCTGGGTGGGCCCCAGGAGCTGGGGGACCCTCTGTCCCCAGCCTGGCAAGAGGAGGGCCAGATGCCTTGGGCAAGCCACGAGCCAGGGGAATGGGCAGGAAGGGGCCTCCTGCTGTGGGAGGGAAGGTTCACAAGCCAAGTTCAAGCTAAGGCATCCTTTTGGCTGCTTGCCGCTGGCTGGTCAGCACAGGGCGAGAAGCCCAGAATAGACCCACCTCACACAAGCTCAGGAGTGGGGATGCTGGAGAGTCAGGAGCACTCAGAGAAACACGAGATTAGAAGCCACAGCAGAGTCCTAAGGTTAAAAGGTGGATTCCTCAAACGGCACAGGTGGGATCTAATAAAACCAGTCTATAAGCAGTAAGGCCAAACACTCTGGACTCAAAATCTTGTTGACGGGGCTGTTCTGGGGAGATCTGTGATTTGGGGTCAAGTTCTTTCAAACTCAGGCAAAAAGCCTTCTCTTGCTACTGACTGCACAGGCCTTTCCCGTCCCTGACAAGAGATGGGGACAGGTGTGCTGGGTGGAGTCCTACGGCTTCAGGCAGGAGAGCACCGGTACCGATCTTTCCCAGGAGAAGCTTTAGTGCATGGTGAAAACACAGAGCTCTTTCAACACAGAAACACAGAGCCCTGGCGGGGGTGGGGGGGGGGTTGGAATGCTGGCTTCTCCAGAGGCAGGCAGGGAGAGAAGACAAGCTAACATTTGGATTCCCTTTCTGCCGAGAACTCGGATTAGGCCCATATTAGTGTTGGCACTGGGCTCAACTGAGCATCTGGGTGGGGGTGGTTAGGGGTATCCACTGTCAAGGCCCCGTTAGCCAGGCACAACCACAGAGACACAGCCACGCCTAAGTCCTGGGTTAGTGGCGGCCACACGTGCACACACAGCTCCTTCCAGGAGGCCCAGCCAGGCAGGCAGCGCTGGCAGTGTGCTCACCCCCTGCCTCGCCTGTGGGCTCACTCTCTGCCCTACATCTCCTCTCAGCTCAACGGGGCACAGGGCCGCTTCGGAGTCCTCCTCACATGACCTGCGGAGAATTATTCATAGTTTAAGGGCTCCCTGGGGCAGCTGCTCTCTCCGAGCGAGCGGGCCCGGCTCGCCTCCCTCCCTCTCTGCATTACCTGCCATACACCCAGGCATCTCTCTTGCTTGCACCACACAGAAGACGCCTGGCCGGGGAGGGGGTGGGGCGGGTAGCGGCGCTTGCCTTTCCACTGGAAGCCAAGCCGACCACCCCATGCCATCCAGGTCTTCTTGCCAGATAGTGCCAACCTCTACCACCTCTTTAAGGCACCAGAGGGAAATGGCCTGAGCTGAGCACAAGGTGTGCGGTCTTTGGGTTTTACTGTTTCATTCATTACCACGTGGCTGCGGTGCATGGCTCCCGCAGTCTAGTCCAGAGGCACCGGGGGCTTCCACCGGGCTCAGTAACTCCATTTCGTGAAGGACCTTCATGCTTTACCGACAAACTTGGGGACAAAATGCCAGCAACCTGGGCCTTATGCCTCTGGTAGCATCAACTTTGGCCGGTTAAGACCAGCCCTAAGAATCTGTGGCCCGTGAAAAGACAACTGTAGGTGGATCTAGGCCTGTCTCTGTGGGGGATCTGAATCTAACAGGGGCTTCAAGTCAAGAGGAAAGATGGGACCCCACACTGGTGACAGCACGCACTACGGGATGCCTCAGCGGAGCCTCTACTCGACCTTCCTTGACCTCGAGTCTTGCGTCAAGAGCCCCAACCTCACCGCACCCTTCCCCTGCCCCAGGGCCGGGGTCCCTTACCTTGGTGTGACCCGTGTGAGCTCGTCTGAGGGGTGCAGGATGCGGCAGGTGGTGAAGGTGAAGGTGGAGTTGGTCTGTGACATGCACTTCCCAGGATGGTGAGCTACGGGGGGGCAGGGAGGGGACAGAACATATTCCTCAAATCCACACAAACCCATGAGAACAGTCAAATTCCAGCATGGCTCGCAGCGGCGGAAGAAGCGATGAGCTACCTTGTAAACTGGATCTGGGCAAGGAAGGTGTGATGCCGGCGTTCTGGATCGCAGAATCCAGAATCCAGCCTGGAGCACTGGCGTGCAGCGCAACCAGTTCCCACTTCCGACCCAGTCCAGACAGGGTTCCCCATCGGCGTTCTCTGGCCAGTAGTGGATCCAGTTTGAGGAGCTAATGAGCCTGTGGGGCAGGGGGTAATTTGGTTTCCCTCCTCAGGGGTCAGAATCGGCTTCCTTCTCATGGGGCTTCACACTTCTTTTCACTGGCAAACAGGTGCCAAGTTCTGCCAAGGAGATGGGAAAGGTGCGGGGCAGGGAAGAGCCTTGCCACCTGGAAACAGGGCAAGGCTAGAACGGCTCCCTTTCCAGAGTACACGGAAAGGGGCTTAGGGAAGCTGGCTCCACTACTGTGTATTGGTGGTGGGCAGGGGTGGGGGGAGATGGGGCCTCAGCTGCCTCAGCAACAGGGTGGTAAGACTCCCAAAGCCTGCGGCTGTCTTCAGCCCTAGGATCAGGTGTGGTCTGATGCACTCTAGTGCGTGCAGCCCCTGTCCCGTAGGCCACTGTCCCGGCCTCTCCAGGATGTCTGATTTCTAATGAAAATGAGACAGCCACCAGCTGTCCTCAAGTTATTTCCTTTTAAAGCTCTAAAGCGCTGTTGTTCAGGCAGCTGAAGACTAGGATTTGGAGCAAAGTAAATCACAGAAGCGTTAGGACCGTGCGTCAGGAAGCTGGCAAATGGTAAAGTGATGAGTGACAGTCTACGGGAGACATCATGATTGTAGAGATCACCCTCATTCATAACTCATAATGCAAAAAAAAAAAAAAAAAAGGAAAAGGTGGGGGAGATGCTGCTCTGAATAGCATGCACAGTGAGGTACTGGGACACACCCCCCCCCCCCCCACCCAGCCCACTGCCCCTGCAGCAGCTCAGCCCCCAGAGACCTCTTGGGGGGAAACGTATTTGGTTCTCAGATGCCATGAGCACTCTGAAGATTCAGGAAGCTGTGAATGAGAATCTTCTAGCTCATTATGGCCACTTTTCTCTTGGATTTGACAAAAAGGAAATGGAAAACAAAACAGAAGAGACCGCTGCCCTAAACCTACAGATCCACACACAGCCGACTGTGTCTTTAAAAAACAAAAACAAAAACAAAAAAACCCAGAACCAGATGGAACAAAAAAGGTTGGAGACGGGCAAACTGAAGGCAGGCAGGACAAAGCCAGAGCACAAAACCGGTGGCAGGGAGTAGACGTACAGCGTAAGGCTGCTTTGCCCCAATTGTTCTAGTCCAGCCCATCTTGCTGGGTCCAGGGAGGTGCCCGTGGTCCCTGGGTGGCAGCCAGCACCCCAGCCACCAGAGTAAACTCGCAGCCACACAGAGTGCCAGGCAGAGCAGGAAGGGGGGAAAAAACACACATGGAAACAGGCTTTATGAATCTTTGTTTCTCAACCAATAAATGGGATGACTTAGGAACTCAGGCAACTGGAAAACTGTTGCAAACAAAACAAAAATGGAATAAGCTATGAAGAAAAGGCAACCGAACAATCACGATTCTCTGACTGCAATAAGGTCTAGCAACAAAAGCAACAAAAAGCCTGAGAAGCGTCCCACATAACCGGCGTGAGGGGTTATTTGGGAGGGAGGGAGGAAAGAAAAATGCAGTAAAGAGAGGTAACTAAGAACAGTGGAAAGAAAGAACCTTACAAATAAGTCAAAAGCGAGGCTCATTTAAAAGTAGGAGTGTACCCCCTTTAAACACGTGGCCAGAAACCAAAAGGTACCAAAGGCCCCCCTCCTCCTCCACCCCATCACCCATGGGATCTTGGATTGCAACAAGTAGCGCAAGATGGACATTTTCAGGACACGGTTGCATCAGCAGAAGCAAAACCCATCGGAAGCAAATGGGTTTTGGGGATAGGAAAAGGCTGCTAAAATTCAGAAGTCATCATTCCCCGGAAGCCACGGAGAGGAAGATCAACAGGAATCAAGAGCACCAAGCCAGAGGTTCGGCCCCTCCGCAATACCACTGGGATGCCTGGCCCCGCCAGCTCTCCACACGTCACCACTGCCCGCCGGGCTGCTGCGGCGTTTCCCTTCCTTGGGACACAACACAGAGACAGTGAGTCGCCCGAGGCCCCTTGTGCTCACCACCCAGCAGCTGCAGGCTGATTCCTAACACCCTGCCTGCAGGAGTGAGCAATCTCTCCAAGCAAGACGCACCAGATGCCTTCTCAGCAGGGACAGGAGGCTTGGGGTGAGGGCTCCCTGCTCCAGTGCCCCGTCCCCACAGTGCACCAAAGCCCTGCTTCACATGCTGGGTGTTCACCTCCTGCTGCCCACTCGGGGCCTCCGAGGAACGGGGTTTCTTGGATTTAATGCTCCGGCTTCCTACTTCCATCCTTTTTTCTTGGTCTGGACTACAGGGCCCCGTGATGTTGTGAGCAGAGAGTATTAAACGGGTTAGAGTAGTCACACTGGAAAAGGCTTCCATCAAGCATCCCCTAGTCCTACATATTTAAAAAAATTTTTTTAAATATTATTTTTTAATCCTACATTATTTTTGTCTGTTCCTTTCCCACCAGGTTCTGACACTAGTACAAAATCCGAATCTATCGCCAAGAACCTATAAATTTAGTTAATCCAGGATGTCTGATTTCTAATGGAGCAAAGATTATTCAAGATCTTCTGTGTTGGTGAACTACATACAGGTGCCTAGCATGCAGTCGTTTTTGTTTGTTTTTTGGGTTTTTTTCTGAACACAGCACACACAGGCACACTCCTTCAGTTAGCTGCAGGCTGGGGCATAGGAAGGCTTTTGAAGGACAAGGGTCACCCTGCTCGCTTGCTCTCTGAGCAGACCCTGTGCATGTTCTGCCTGGGGCAGGTGCACTTGGTAAATGGTTCTGATGGGCTGTGCTCCTCTGGGGGGCGCAGGGTGCTCAGTACTGATTGGAAACTGGGTGCCTGGGATCCTGCTGCTGCAGCCAGTCATGGGGGTGCCCTGACGGGGCCCACAGTCTCCAGAGAGCTGGGGCTGCCTCCCTGGATGGCCCTGAGACTATACTGGGGGTTATCTGCAAGTGCGCTATGCAGATCTGGATGATTGCAGGGCCGCCTGCTCTAATTGTTAGGAGAGAAAAGGAGCACAGACAAGGTGGGGTTGCTCTGGTGAGGACCTGAAGCCTGATGGAAACTACCAGCCTCTCCCATCCACATGATGTGATTCAGATATACCAACTCATGCATCTCAGTCAATCCCAATGGCATATTCCATCCCCCATCCACAGGGAAGGGGAGAACAGAAACTCGCCCCACTAAAAGTCAGCATGGCACCTAGTCCTTGAAAGAGCCCTTAGATGAGCCCACACAGATGCCAAAGAGTATGCCTGCACCTGGAGATTTCTAGCGGAGTTGCAGAATACACATCCATGCGAGGCTGCTTCCAAGGGGCTCTCTGAGGATGGAGAAACCTGGCCACACCACACCCCCAGGCTATGTTTTTTGCTAACATAAACAACTTCTTGAAAGTCAAAATTACAAACGCCTCTCTAAATCTTGGAAAAAGAGGACTGTCTTTGTGATGCACCGAACGTTTTCCATAGTCTCTTTCCCCTTCTCATGGGAAGCAGCCAAACCTGTGTAAAATGAACAAAATGGCTGACAATTTCCTTTTCTTAACTTAAACACCTAGGGTGAAGCTGAGGTCACATGATTTAGATCTGCTTTGCAATTTCTATGAACTAATTAGCCAACACACACACACACACACACACACACACACACACACACGCACATCTTCTCTCTTCCCCCCCCACCCCGCCCCCTAAGGTCCCAGAAGCTTCTACCACATCAATAGTGGTACCCATGGGCTGGCCTTTTCTATCCAAGCCAAACCAAACCCACTGAAAACAGAAGCCACTGTCCATCCAGTTTAAGATTGTGGCTTGAACTAAGAGCATCCATACCTTTTGTCTTTTTGTCTTGACCTTTTGACTAGCTTCTAACAACTTTGTTACTTTTTGTTCAAAGAGTAATCATATTGGGGGAGAGGGGGAAGATGTGTCTTTGCCTGTCAGTTACTTTCCCATTTCTTAAAAAAGGCAAAAGCAAGGCTTCTGAATTATTCCTAAAAGACTAAAATGTCAGGACACAGGAAAATGCTTTAAAGACTTTTCCTGTCTCTTCTTTATATAATTCTGCCCATTAATTTTTCTGGGGGAAAAAAAAAGTTCCATGATGAGTGCACATGGGAAAAGCTTCATAATGCCTTTGTGTACCCTGTGCCTCATCAATAATATCAGTATTGCATCTGGGCTTCATGTGGCTCTAATAAGAGTTTTCCTCTGGAGGATGGAAGCCAAAAGTTTCTAAATACAGTACTGTCGTTTTCACCCTTTAAAAAAACAAGATAAAAGTGATTTTAAGCCAAACAATGTTGCAGAAGTGCAACATTTCTTAAGCCCTTAGTTCCAGGCTGAACATGGACCTGCTTACTCTCCTTCTCTGCCTCTTAAGCCTTTCTTCAACATGGCTCTCGTCTGCTCCTAGAGCTCAACAGGGACCCCCGAGCCCCTGACGCAGACCTGGGCCTGCAGGCCCTGGGAGGATTCTATCACAGATTTGTGAACTACACAAGATCTTCTTCTGGTTTCCATACAACTTATTTTTGGTTCCTACAAAATTAAAACAATTAAGTCAATTTTGCCCACTGTGCCAAGCTGTCTATTCCCTGTTTCATCTAAGAAGTATGTGATTTAACAGATGAACACTCTAACAGTGTCATGCAGAGAGGGGCAGAAATCTCCACAATTGGCCCCTGAAATATGTTCTGGAGATTTTTTTTTTTTTTTTTTTGAATGTGGTTAAAATGTCAGAGGGACAAAATGCAAAAGTCTCTTTGGATCCTGTGGCTGCCAACAAAGCTGGACCCTACACCCTGTCCTTTTGTCCCTCCTGTGGCAGACGTCCACCGGCGTGGGGAGCTGGTCTGCCCAAGCTGCACCGGAGACCCACCACTGCCCAAGACCATCCAAGCCAGTTCAGGAGCGCGCTTCCCCCACCCGCCTCTTGGCGGTGCTGCTGGACCGCTCATCCCGCCGCCGACGCCCACTGCAGTGATCCCTCCTCCGAGGAGAAGTGTCCGCCTACGCACAGTCCTCTGTGGTCCATGGGGGTGCTCCTGGAGCACAGGAGCACCCTCCTGTGGTCTTCAGAGGTGACGCTGCCATGGAGAGAGCGCTCGCGAAGAGCAAGCTTGTTCAGGACACAGTAAGCGGGGTTGACTCCAGTTGTTGGTCTGGAAGGAGTCAACGACCTCTCTTCATTCATTTTCCCACTTCCAGGTTGCCGTGGGCCTGTTTCATGCACTAGTTTTATAGGTATCCCGAGGCAAGAGCACGGGGCCTTCCTTAGCATCACCTAACACAGATGGGTGTGAGCCAACCATCTGCCTGTGCACAAGGACCCAACTTTTGTAACTGCTGCAGATCGAGGGCTGGGTTGGAACATCTTCCCATCAGAGTGGGAACGCGTGGTCCACTCTCTCTGTGGAGACAAACGCGAACCTTTCCCACAGCTGAGGGTCTGGGAATCGGAGGGACCCGGCTTGCCTTCCAGACCCATCGGGCCCCGCTTGGGTTCTGGGACAGAAAGGAGACGGCGCCGCTGCGAGGCTGTGCTCCAACCCACTCCTGGCCCGCCCAGGCGCTGGAGAAATACTCCGCTGGCCCTACTGGCGCTCTGGCTCCCTTCCTCCATGAGCTCTTCCTTCTCTTGCCTCGCTCAGTAGCTGCTCCTGAACAGAACCTGGACCTATGTACCAAGCAAGGTCACTACATAAGTTAATTCCTGGCCTTTGCCGGCTATGGTGGGGGAGGGGGGAGAGCAAGTCCATCCATGTGCTGCACCTTCAGGGGATTTTTCAATGGCTGTTTGACTAAGTGTGATTTTTGCCTTCAACACTTACTTTTGCACCTGCCCCAATGAAGATACAGCTCCACTGTGGGGCCGCTGCCAGAGAGGCAGCCGTGATTGCTACGAGTCTCCTTTCAGTTACTCCCCCACCTGAGTGGCCTTCATGGGTAGGACTATGAAAATAAACTGACCTTCGCTTTTTTCTATGTTGCGCTAATCCTACTTCTTTCTTTCCTTGAAGGATCCTGGCTGGCATCCAAAATAATTCAACTACACTGTCCAACCAACCATCTACCGATGTAACTGTAGGACTTCAAAACTCTGATCTTAATCCTTTCCCACATGTTGGCTCTTCCCTCCACATAAATACCTAAAATTCAGAACACGGACAGTATGAGATAATGACTATTCATAATAAATTGCACTTTCTATGTGAGTTAATACATAAAACATCACTGAAAAGTAAAACTGTAATCTAAAAATTGTTTTAAATAATCAATTTTAATCATCTAAATTATTTACAAATATAAAAAAAGAAATCGTGCTTTTTAAGACATGGGATTATAGAAATCAGCCAATAATGATACAATACATTAAAATATATTAGTAGGGTTGTTGTTTTTTTTCAGTACTCAGAGCTTTTTCTCTGTGAGCTAGTATGTTCTAGACAAAAGTGCCTAATATATAAGTCTCCTCAGTTTCCTTCCAGAGTCTCAGTTGCAAGAAAAAAGGCTAAGCCTCTGTCTTCAAAGTTCCTCCCTACACAGTATTCCCAGATGGCAGCTTCTGGGACTGTGCTGTCTCGCAACAGAAAAGCCTAAACATATCAAAGGTAGACCAAGGCAGGGACAAAACCAGCCTGGACACAAATCCCAGGACAGGCAATGGCCCAGTCCTCCCTGCTGAAGCTTGTCTATTTACCTGTGACTCCAGGATTATGTACATAGTGCCACTCAGGGGTCGCACAGGGGTGATTTACGATTTAGAGTGACAGGTTTCTTACCTTCCAGTAATCAAAAGGGTCCTTTTACTCCCAGCAGGGAAAGAAAAGAGCGATGTCACTGTTCCAAACCACTGATCCCCTCTGTGCTGAGCTTTTAACAAGTCTGACCAAGAACAAGCCCAAAAGAACTCTTGTCTAAATGATCAGGCCCTTCCTAAGTTACCTTCAGCAATCTACAGAATTCTTTTCGATCACATACTTCTAACCTGGGGCTAAGTTCCAACTCTAGATTGGTGTGTCTCTCCTCAAAGCTGCTGGGATGAATTTGCTGCAGGTTTGAGGAAGGAGGGAAGCAGTAAATATGAATGTGTCTTTGTTTAATGTAAGGAAAGTGGTCAGAACTTATGTCATAATTGATCTCTCCCTCTAATTTCTGAGGGAAGTTCTTAGCTGACTTGAAGTTAAGTTTTCTTCTTTCTGAATAACTTCTTGAAGACACACCTAATGGTGCTTCTTTAAGCCTAGAGCATTCACCTTCTGGTCCACCTGTAGGACTGCAGGGAGGGGTCATCGCCCTTGACATGATTCCTATCCTTTCAGTCACAACGCTCGCAGACTCCATGTTTCCCGTACCACTGTCTGCCTTCCAGAAGGTCAGAGAACAAAGGGAAGTCACGATACCACAGCTGGTTTCCCTTCCTTAAGTGTGAAGATATTAAATAAAACTCATTTTCATTCCCGTGCAAGCTTAATCTGGTAACTTATTTGGTAAAAAATAAATGAATAAACCATAAGCTTATTTGATAAACCAATCCTTTTTACTTGGTGATATCTCTAAAGTTTATGTCAAAGAAAAAAGAAAAGTTGGCCCCAAATAAAGTCCCTTAGCAGGGAGGCACCACCACACACCTCAGCTCTCTCCTGTCCTGTCCTTCACGGCAGGAGGGTGGCCTTTGTGAACCAAAGTTATGAATCACCAAGACGCATGTCCTCTCCTCAAGTCTAGTGACTCCAAGATGCCATTGGGATGACAGCATTGGGCGAATTCATCTTTCTCTGAGTCTCTGCCCTGATTCCACAGGAGAGCTTCCTTGTCTTCTCAGCACTGTGGCTGGGGCGGGGCGGGGCAGGGGGGGGGGACCCAGGAAGTCTGGGGCAAATGGTAACCACATGACCCCTGTGGTCCTGTGAGTGCCCTGAGCCCAAACTATTTCATCTCAGTGTCGCCTAGGGTATAATTCTGCAAACTCATGATCCCATTTTTAATGGGGTAGCAGGGGGCAGGTGATCAGCTAGAACTCTTCTCCGGGTTCATCTGGGGTCCTCTCTCTGGAAAAGCTTACTGACATTCTCCTTGGGTTTTTGGGTTAAGGAGTATTGCTAAAATGCTTTGGAAAAATCCCCTTTGAACACATGCATAAGCTGGAGAGAAAATGCATATACCTTCACTGAAGTTAGAAATGGAGGAAAATACTGATTTAGCTCAGTGTTGTCTGAAATCCTGAACACTTTCCGGGCTTCTTCCTATTTTGGTACTCCTCATAGGGAACAGATTCTCTCCCCTGGCACTCTACTCATTTCCCCTTAAGATGCCCAACTCTGCTCAGCTTAGTTTGGAAATCACCGTGGGACTTGGGAACCTGCCCCCCAGACTCGGGGAGAGACCCACAGCAGAAGCAGGGGAGGTGACAGGCAGGATGGGGTGGGGGGCCAACAATCCACTTCTTTTTAGCAGCCTTTCCTGCTCCCCGGTCAGGAGCCCTGCTGGGCCATGCACCTCCCAGATGGGCGGGGAGCTACACCCACTCGTTACATCAGACACTATGGGGGCATCAGACTCTGCATTACACAACAGAACCGCACAATGGGAAGCTGTGATCATCACCCACACAGACGAGCGGAAGCTACAGACAGAGAGCCACTACGGATGGTGCTCGGGACAGAGGTGAGAATGGCCCAGAACTCGGCCTCCGGTGAAGATGCCAGGTTCACAGGACTTATCGGGGTGCCCTCACCAGACCCCTCCTCCTCCTCCTCCTCCTTCTGCTCGGCCGCTGGCGGCTCCTGCATCTCCTCTGGGAAAGCCTGAGGCCGGCGTGGGAAACTTCTGCTGCCTGAGACAGTCTCGCGTGCTCGGGACCCCTCACCTGAGGTCTCTGGGTGCTGAACTGGCGTGGAGGTAGCTAGGCCCGGGAGGGAAATGTGGTCACCTGTGTCATCTTCCTCAAAGTCGTTAAGGCAGTACACTTCATCCAGGTCAACGTCCAGTGTCCGAAAGCCCTTGGTGACCACACCGGGCCGGGGGTCCAGGATGCCCCCTAGGTGGGGCTGGGCCAACTGCTGCCAGTGGTGAAGGGTGGCAGAGCCTTGCAGGAGAAAGGGCAGAGAGGGAGGGGGACAGGGAGGAGAGAGGGTTAGGACGGACGTCTGAGCGGACGGCAGGCACCACCCCCGGAGCGTGGAACGCGACCCCTGGCAGGATCTGAGCCCGGCTGGTGAACTCTGGCAGGGACGCCGGCGGAGCGGCCCCGGCCACCGTGCCACAGGGGCTGATAACCCGCCATGCCTGGGAGGGGCACCCATTCAAGGAATCCCAAGCGAATCTTTTTCACAAAGTGAAACTAATACCATCTGGTGTGGCAAGGATATCTGGGGACTAACTATTTTATTCAAGGGAGGTCGATCCCCAGATCCAACACCTCATCCATGTAGGAGCCCCAGCAGAGGAAAAAGAAGCGAGACAAGTACAAAAAGGGGGTGTCTGGGTACTGAATCTGTGCCAAGTACCCATGGCCAGGGACAGGGAAGGCGCAAGCCCAGGCAGCGTAAGACAATTTGGAACTGATCCCGGGATGCACAAGACACAAGCAAAAGGAAATGAGAGTCACCCACACGACTATGGCCTCTTTTACTTATTAGGGTTTGTCTTCTGGCAGCAACCCTGAGAGGCTGCAGGTTGGGGAGACGGAATGGGGCTAGCCAGGTGTGATCGACAAGCACGGAAGTCCACACAGAGGTCTGAAGCAGAGGAGATCTCCTCAGTGACACCAGATCCCGGGACTCAGATGACATCATGCAAGGTCTGTAATAACACCGAAGTGTGTCCCTCAGCACCTCGAGGGGGTCACGGTGGCTCAGAGAGAGAAGCGTTCCAAGTACCAGTATGCCTCACAACCTGGTTCGAGAAGCAGATTTACTAAGGAACATCTTAGAACCTTCAGTATGTTGCTGCATCCTGGGATTCTACCCAGCCCGTTTGTCAGAGCAACCCTTTTTTCCTTTGGGACACTTCTTAAACCTGGCATGGCCCGGGGATGATGACCCTTGAGGTTGGGTGTCTGTCCCCATTCTACAGATAAATTAGTCAGCCACACAAATGCCTAGCTTTGAGAGTTCTCAGGCGTGGGAAAGCAAGCCTTCCCACATGAATGATTCCCAGTTACCGCTGGTTTACCAGAGGAGTCCTCTGTGGGGCACGCTGCCCCGGGGCATGTCAGACAGGGAAGCCGGGGCGCCAGGAACCAGCAGCTCAGGAAACAAGAGAAGAGAGAAGGAAACGATGGTAGGTGTTGGGGTCAGGGGCCGGTGCAGGAACGTGAGTGAGATCCAGACAACCCCTTCCACAGGAGCCTCCGACCCTCTGGTGTACCCAGTGAGCATGCGGCCCCCAACCCACCGCCGGGAAGGAGCTTCCCGGGGAGCAGCCTCAGCCAAAGGGTCTTGAAGGGATCTTGTAAGTGGGCAAGTTCACACACACTTTAAGCTGCACATGCTGCCAGTGTATGTTTAGGGAACCCCCAGATACCCACTCAGAGGTCTGTCCCAGGTTTAAGTGGGTACAAGTACAACCTTCACCTGAAGCTACCGTATATAAATAGCAAATACACCACACACAGAAGAAACATGGTAGCACAACAAATACTGTCCTCTCATGATGTGCTGAGATTAGAGCAGTGGTTCTCAACTAGGGGATGACCTTGTCCCACACATTCGGTAAATGAACAGAGACATTTCCAGTTGTCACCATTGTGGTGAAGGAGGGAGCGCTAATGGCATCGAACGGGAAGGGGCAGGGACAGGGACGCTGGGTCCCACGATGCCCAGGGCAGACCCCCACCCACCAAGTGATCCGGCCCTGGATGTCAGCAGGGCTGAGATGGAGACACCCAGACCTAGAGCTGTGGTCCTCTGGTGTCGGATCTCGGGAGAACCCAGAGGAGCTCAGGTGCAAGCGGCCAGGGCTCGGCAGATATGCTCAAGCCACCGGGGCCTCAGCAGCTTTTGTTTTTCTTTTCTTTCTTTCTTTTTTTTTTTTTTTTTAGCAGCTTTTCTTTTAAAGTTACCCTGATTGAGCAGCTGGTGTTACATCAACTCCCAACTCAGAAGCACTCGATGAGGGGACTGAGGGTCACTCAAGTTAGAGAATTTTCCCAAGTCCCTGAGCAGTGGCAGCCCTGAAGTCCAGGTCCCTTGAGTAAGCTCACACCACCTGCCCCCCAGCCCATGTTCACGGGTCTGTAAACAAGCAAGGACCTTCGTGCTCTGGCCGGGAACCCACACCAACTGAGAAGCACCCATGGTGGGCAGTAAACATTCCAGGTGGCCATCCAAGGCCGGCCAGGAGGCACACACACTATAGCTGATGGGATTTCTCAAGACCCCCTGGAGACCCCCATTCATGATCCATAATGAGGCCCCTGTTCATGTGGTCATCAGATGCCCAGGCACATTCCTGGCAAAAATACTGCACTGGGGAGAAGTCTTAACATGTCACTGGGACATCCAGCTTCGGACACACATGCTGGTCTCACGAGGATGATGGCAAATGACTAAGTATGGTGTGGTCAGATCACCTCTACTTTTGGGAGGGGAGGAAAGGGAGAGATGACAGACACGGGGAAGTGAGGAACTATGTCTGTAGTGCCAGAGGTTCTCACCCTTCTGAAGGGGGCTGAGAGGTTTACAGTGCCCAGGGAAAGAAAGAAGTCAGGGAGGCCCAAGGTCTGGGCCCAGACACCAGTCCCACGGGCCTCCATCCTCCCTCTGTTCAGCAGACAGCCCTCATCTCTCCCCACCCCCAACACGGGCTCGAGAGAGAAATGTTGCTGTTTGGAGTTCAAGATACTACGCAAGTACATGAAGTTATCTGTCTTCCCTGAACACGCAGAGCCAAGGGAGTTGAGTTGAGATCACAATGGAGAGATTATGCTGGAAGATGCATGGTACTTGGATTCTTACCCCCTGCCTTGGGCTCCCCTTACTCACGAAGAGCCAACCTTTACTGAGCATTAACCCGGTGTCAGAGCCTGTACTTAGTAACTCGATCATAACCCTGTTGTCCTCATTTTACAGATAAGGACATGGAGCTCAGGGTGGTCAGGCAACTTGCCAGAGGCTGTACAGCTGGCAGGTGGCTAATCTGGGTTCAAACCCAAGCTGGCTCCAGTGTCTGTCCTCTTAACTATATACACCTTCTCTGGGTCAGCAGTGAGGGGGCCTCCTGGGTGTGTGTCTCAAAAATCAGGGCAGTAAAACACCCGACTGGCTTTTTCAATCCTCATACACGTGTCTTCCATCCTATAAAAGTGAATATTGGCCAAAGCCCCCACAGCCCTGTTATCTGAGTTACATCAGGCTGGGGGGCCCACATATCATTTCCATTCCCAACTGGTTCTAAGGCCCCAAGAGGGTTTCTCAAGTCCAGGACCCAGGCAAAATAGCTCACACCTCACTTCCTCCCACTGCCACTGCCTGCACCGCCACGTAGGAATCCGACCAATCCCCTGACTGCCTAAGGTACAAGATGGAAGCACAGATTAAAAATTAAGGATGAACGGCACCTTATTCAGAGGTTTGTCTGCCTCTTTCCTACTCCCACTGCCCCCCTCAACCCCCGCAAGCCTGGCTTCCTTTATTTGTCAAGCACAAAGCAGCAGAATCACCGCACTGTGAGATACTTCCCATGACCAGCCCCTCCCTCCCACCCACAAGAGAATGAGGCTGGGGTCAGGGAAAGAGGAGGCTTCGTGCTCCTAGCTGGCACCAAGATGAAGCTCTGTGAAACAAGGATGCGGCCAGCAGGGAACACAGTCATGGTCACCATGCCTTTCCCAGTTTGCTTTCCTTCTACATCTCACTGTTCTAACTAAAAGCTGTGATATGATCAAAGGAGAAGGAAACCAAATCCATCTATGTCACAGGAGTACCCGGGGCTTGGAAGTTTAGACCTAACCTGCTGGACAATGTCTAGCTTAGCTAAGAAGTGTATGCTTTCAACTAATTACATGTGAACTTATTTACTGGGAAATACCCTCTTGATTTTAATTATCCACAAAGAAAGAGCAAACAAATACAGTGGGAAAAATACTGCCAGAGTCATCTTTGTCATGCAGATCTTTGTCAAGGAGTCTGAGAAGTTCGCCTGCGCTTCACCTACTTAAACTCCTAGGGTAAGAGGAAGGGGCAAGAGTACTGACCTTAAACACCTAGCTCGGCTACTTCGGCTGACACCAACAAGCAGGTACCAGGATGCTTTAAATAGGGAAGGGAGACGCAGAGGGAAGACCCAGAATGGCTATCTACAATCCCAGCCAACGCTCTCCAGGGACCTCATCCCGGCACACTGACCTGAGCCACTGAAGATCAAGGATATGATGGGCTTCTAAGTGGGCCAACGGGAAAGGATGGTATGAAAACATGGCCCTGGCACAGTGCTGGTCTGGGTTCTCAACACCCTTTAGACCTGAACTGCTAGGACATGGCAAGTTTGGGGAACCTAAGTTTTAATTAGCACCTCTTAGGTGCCAGGCATAATCACATTTACTCTTGACAATTTTGTGTGGCAGATGTAAGCCTTAGTTCACAAGTCAGAGAAACGGGACTCAAAAGGGTCACTTCTCTTCTGCCACAGTTGGAGCTGCATTGAACCCAGTGCCAGGCAGACTTCTGTGTCAGCACTCCACCTCGTCAAATTAAACAAGGTAATACAAAAAAAATTGTGGAGGCAAGGAAAAAAGAAAATATTAGTTGTATATGAAATAGCTGAGAAGTCTGAGAACTACAAAACGGAGGAGAGGAATCTCTAGCATAAGGATGCATTACAGTCCATAGTGATACAACATGACTTCTTAACAGCAGTGATTTAACTTCCTGGTGAGAAGGGTACTGTAGATGAAACTGATCTAGCACACCTCAAGGGATTTTCTCTTCTTCTAGTAACACAAAAAATACTGCTAAGTCACAAGATTAAAAGGAAAAACAAAAGATGAATTGGTTGAAATAAATTTTTAAAAATCTTTCCCTGCAATATGCTTGGAAAATGAATCCAAAGACATATTCTTAGATGATCTAATGAAACATAAAGTCAAATACAGAAACCAGACGAAATAGAGATGATAAATTCCAATGAGCTTTAAGAGACAAAGGAGAAAAAAAGAAAAGAAAGGCAGAAAGTAAAATTGCAGAAATGAAAGATTTTATTGAAAGAAAAACAGACATAATTATGGATCAGGAAACAATCACCAAGCTCACAGCTGAATAAACAATTAAAAACAGAACAAGCCATCCCTTTTCTGAAATCTAATAAGGGTCTGAATTATACAATTAAAAAATAATTCTGAAGAAAGAATGTCAGCCCACCCTCTTCCTAGCTCTGGAGACTACAGGACCCAGCATGTCTTGGGTCTTTAGCAAGCACACCCTCATTTTACACCACACATTCTCAACAGGTTCTTACAGGATAAAAAGAATCCTACCCTCTTTAGGCAGAGAGCAAAGCTCTAACACAACAGTGTATCTGTGGTAGTGAATTGCAGGAATGAGTAACTATCGATTCTATGTCTAAAATGACTCCTTAAGAATATAGGTCTAACATGGGACATACGGCCTTACAGAAATTCTGATTTGACTCTGCATCAGAAATATAACACAGAATTCTAAAGTACCTTCTCACACTCACAGGGGTTTCCAAACTAAAGGTGTCAAAAATGAAAAATACAAACTCTCAGTGGCTCCTGAGAGGGTTAAGTGGGTAATTAGAGGGAAGACATTTTTATAACACCTGGAAGAAAAAGCAAAGAACAAAGGTGAATTTTTTCTAGGAGTTTAACCTTCTCGTGTCCCAATTTACTAAAAAGTAAATTGCCCCTGGGAAAGGCAGGCTTGAGGCGGTAAAGAGCTCGCTCACCTCCCTGACCACCCCCTTCTCGGCCCCCAGACTGTGGAGGTCTAGGCCTCTTGCTCAGAACCCACAGCACTGGAAGAAAGCCACACCCCCTTTGCTGGAAGATGGAAACAAAACATGAAAGCCAGTAATTGCAGATCGCTTTCAGGTGGTTCCTGAAAAAACAACTTCTAGCATGTGCTCTGAACCCCTCCCCGACACCAGCATTTCTGAGAGGGGACAGCAAGAACTCCCTGCGCTTCTCAGACTCCTGGCATGACCTAATGGACTTTCTAGTACGTCAGCAGTGCCTCTGCCTCTCAAAAAGATGCTAACTTCTAAGGTTCCAGGTGCACAACAAAGAGAACTAGGAAACTGGCCTGAAGGCTTCGTTCCTTTCCTTTGGCCTAACTGGAGGAGGTCAGAGTCGGCCCGTGGCCGTCGTGCACTCTCCCACATCTGCCCCGGGAGGTGGAGGCCCAGGCTGAGCGCCACCGTCAGAGGAACTCAAACCAGCAGCGGGGGAGGCTGTCCCGGAAGAAAAAGGAGTAGGCGTGACAGAGGCTGCCTGCTTGCCGGTGGTGGATCAGGGACCAGAGGCGGTCGCCAAGGAGGGCGGAGAGGGGCCGAGGCCCCCGGTGATCACCTTCCAGCGGCTTCACGATCTGGAGTTTCTCGGGCAGGTAGGAGCGGCTGCTGAAGGACATGCCCGAGAAGCCGGTGAGCTCGGAGAAGCGCGAGTGGGTGCCGAGCGACATGATGCTCTCCGTGGGCGTGAGGGAGCCGCTGAGCAGCTCGCCCTTCTCTGCTAGCTCCCTGAGCTTCCGCTCCTGCTCCTCCTCGAAGAACCTCCGCTCCGAGAGGTAGTTCTCCCGGCGGAGAGACAGCCGCCGCAGCGCCGTCTCCAGGTCGTGGGAGCCCGGAGTGCCCGGCGTCCCGGGCTTCTTGCTCCGCTCGTCGTTCCTGCGAGGAGGGAGATGGGGCTGAGAGAGGGCGGGCGCCATGCAGCGTAGAGTGCATGGCTCGAGACAGTCCTTACTGCTAGGTGGCCAGGGGTGCACGTGTTTCCTGGTGGCGCAAGATCTTTGCTAGGGAAGCCCACAAGGCAAGCAGCAGAAATCTAGGCAAAGCTGGGGAGGGAAATGCCTACGGGGGGGAACCTAGTTCCCTCTGTTGGGTGTTCTGCCCGGTGTGGGGAGAGCACTAAGGTGTAATGAAAATTCGCACAGACGATGTAAAAAACTCCATCCCTAGGTACAACCTCCCTCGTGAGCCCTCAGGAAGACGACTTCTTCAGGCCGAAGTCCTAGTTACCAGAAGGATCACTGGTTCTAGGGGCATTTCTCTTTGTTCTTGAACTGAAAGAGCTGTTCTGATCAAGCAGTTCCCCTTGTAGCCAAGAGGTCAGAAGAACCAATCTCTCTGTCACGGAAAAAGGGTGTACGACACAGCTGACGTCCCTGCACGCGCACAGCTATGGGTCTGCGGGGCTTTGGGACACTGAGGAGGCCCCACCCCAGCAACAGGGCTGGGATGTGTGCCTTTTGCAGCCAACTGGATTCTGGTCACAAGTCAGAGCCTGAGTCCTCCTCAGCCTTCCAAACACCCAAGCTACAGAGGGGTCCCTGAAACAAAGGTCTATTCTGTAGCCCAACAGGGAAAAGTGACAGAAAATAATCACTTATCCCCCCCTTCAGCATTTGATGGAAAGACAGACTTCCTGTTGTGCCTCCTTCCACTGGTGAAAGTACCAGAATCGAGAATGAGTGCACACTCAGAGGTCCTGGCAAAACAGATTACAGAACGAAAGGTCTATACTTGTCAGGCAATTCTTTACCGGCCTCTCTCTTCTGTGGGCCAAACCTATCCTCCGTCCACACCGCCTGTCTCCCAGACCCAAAGATTACAAACTCTCGGCTGGCTCACCCCAGGTCCTCGGACTCTGCTTCCAGGATGATGCTATTGGTCTTGTTGTCCAGGACAATGTTGCCAACGTCACTGCCATAGAAGCTGGACCGGGGGGTGCTGACGCAGCTGGAGAGGAGGGAGTTCACGGCTGAGGACTGGTTGGAGCCTGGGATGTTCATGGGGGATGGGGTCAGAGACCTCTGCTTGACGACCTGGTTGATGTTTCTCACCGTCTCAAAGACTCGCTTCTGGTGCCTGGGGGTGGCGGGGGGGAGGCGTGGAGAAGATGCACAACATCCATGAATAAACAAATGCAGGAATGACCGCGGAGTTCAACCTCCAGAAACTACCATCCGAGGGGCGAGAAAGGCAGCTGGCCCATGTGAGACCCCCCCCGCCCCAAGCAACCTACCATCCCCTGCCTTCCATGTGTTTCTTAAGCCTGTTGGCTGGAAAGCAAGAGACTCAGTGCCCACTGAATTCAGGGCTCTACTTCATGGCTGTGTCCCAGAGGTGATGCTAGCAAGGGGATATTGCTTTTTTCTCCCTTAGGCTTGACCCACAAGTACAAATACTTAAGTAGGGCTTTTGTCTCCTGGCTACTTTTCCTCCGTCATTATGGTGCCTAGAATGCAAGGTCCAAGAGAGCAGAGTTCACTGCTCAGCACATAACAGGCCTCCATAAATATCTGTAGAATGAGTATTTGTTGACTGTTTTATTTATATATATATATATATATATATATATATATATATATACATACATACACACACACACACACATATATATATACATATATATATGTGTGTGTGTATGTGTATATATATATATATATATATATATATAAAAGCCAGACAAAATCTTAAACTTCTACAATGAGATGATAAACACCACAGGAATCTTTTTTAGAAACTGCTGTTTCTAAGAGTAGAACCTCCTTTTGATGTTCATTTGTTTCCACCTCCCCACCCCACCTTTTTTTTAAGAAGGGGAGAGAGACAGAGAAAGAGAATCCCAAGCAGACTCCACGCCCAGTGCAGAGCCCAACATGGGGCTCCATCTCACGACCCTGAGATCATGACCTGAGCTATATCAAGAGTGGGATGCTTAACCGAGCCTCCCAGGCATCCCCTTATGTGTTCCTTTTACAGGAGACAAAGGTAGGCACATTGCTATAAAGGCCACATCTTTCAGGGATGCATAAGGCTTCACACATGCACAGAGGCTCGGGGACTCTGGTCACTCCCAGGATCCCATTTCAGTTCTGGCTGTGGGCTTTGAGTACAGAAAATACACAGTGAAATCAGATCCACATACATCTGAGGAAACACATCAGGGCCGGCCTAGCACAAGATCTCATGTCAGGGAGAGAGCCTGTAGGGGCCAGTATCGGTAAACATACCCAGAAAGGGCAGAAGCCTTGCATGCACCCCTCAAAGAGCCCTCTGTATCTCCTACAGCATGTGATCTCTTTTTCTAACGGACATTAAACATTTCCAAGTATTGTTTTTCACTGAACGGAAAGATAAAACCAAGGGGTGGTATCAAGACAGGGCTGTATTAACAGAGATGGGAAACACAGCTCTCCTTACTCAACTTTCTAGAAGTTAGTAGAAGAGCTTTAAAACCCAGGAAGAGAAGCTGGGGGATATATATGACTGTCTATGTGCTCTTATCTCCCTCAACCCGGACCCAAATCTGTGCAAGGACCACAGGGCCGGTGCCTGAAGCCCAGACGCTGCTGGTTTTGATGAGCACGGGGTGTGAGGTGGTCTCTGGAAAACTTAGAAGCAGGCCGTACGCGATGTCCGGAGACTCGGGCTCTTCCAGCTGCAGCTCCTTCCGCATTGTCCCCTCGATCTCCGCTGCCAAGGAGTCCTGAGAAAAGCCAGAGACACATGGAGTGAGCAGCAATTCAAGTCTCTGAAAGAGGCTCCCAGCTAGCTGGCCAGAGGAGTCTCAGGTGAGGTCTCAGAAGCCTGCAAACTGCCCTTCCGTGAGACTGTCGGCACTCATCACTGGGGGGATCCCTGAGTGAGCAAGCCCCATGGCGGGTTCCGAATGGAGCAGTCCCCAATGGGCACTGAGCGGACAGCTCCTATGCTCCCCTGCGGCTGAGGATCTGAGAGCAAACCCCGTGTTCCCTTGGCCACACCATGGAGCTGTGGCTCTGCCTACAAGGAGAGGCAGGGAATTTGTGGAGGAGGGGTCCTGAGTTGTGAGCACTGTCATGTGAACCTCTGCTCTTGTGCCCCCCGCTTCCCGTGCAAAGAAGGCTCCTCTCCCCACCAATGACCCAACGCCCACCCTCCTTTAGTGACCCGCTCCTACCTCGTTTCCACTACCAATCCTTCACTCCTCCCCCAAGAAAGACACCAAACACACGAAGTCCCGGCGAGTTCCCTGAACAGTGAGTTCACTTGGATCTTCCTCTAGCTAGGTTGTGGATTCTGTGGGTCAGGGGAAGGCCGGTCACAGATGGCTTCTCCCTTCTCAGATGGGCCAGGCCCCGAGCTGAGGCTCACTGATAAAGACTCCCTGATGAGCGGCCCCCATCCCTGAACACCCCACCACTCCTTACCACCCGAGGCAGAGACTCACAGGCAACCCCACACACCGGCACAGGTCGGTGCCAATAGGAGGACCAGGTGTGTGCAGAAAAGCACCCGCTGGTGTCTCAGACAAGGACACCACCTAGGACAGCCTGAAGGGAAGAGCTAACTCTTTGCTAACCGAAGACCTCCTAAGATAAGAGGAATGTTCTTTCTGCACCGTGCACTGTGAGAGCCACGGGCCGCAGGTGGCCATCGGGTGCTTGAAACATGACCAGTATCACTGGGAACCCGAATTCCCTGTGCTAATTCTAATGGATTTAACTTTACAGAGCCACTTGTGGCCAATGCCTTCCCAGCAGACAGAGCATGGGAACTCCCGAGCGCCCACCTCCACAGCCCCAAAGTCAAGGAGTGACGCTCCAGGCTGGAAGCTGGAACCTATTTATACATACATGATTTTATTTAGTAATTATTATGTACAGGTTGCAATTCAACATAACCCACTTCCCTGGGTGAGCTTTTTTAAAAGATTTTATTTACTTATTTGATAGAGATCACAAGTACGCAGAGAGGCAGGCAGAGAGAGAGGGGGAAGCAGGCTCCCCGCTGAACAGAGAGCCCAATGCGGGGCTTGATCCCAGGACCCTGAGATCATGACCTGAGCCGAAGGCAGAGGCTTTAACCCAGTGAGCCACCCAGGCGCCCCTGGGTGAGCTTCTTTAAAGCCAGTTTACATTTTTTTCCTCTCTTTAAGATTTTTATTTATTTATTTGAGAGAGAGAGAGAAACTGAGATAGTGAGAGAGCACAAGCAGGGAGGAGAGGGAGGAGCCCGATGCAGGGCTCGATTCCAGGACCCTGGGATCCTGACCTGAGCCGAAGGCAGAAGCTTAACTGACTGAGCCAGCCAGGAGCTCTGCAAGTTTCCTTTTCTTACTACTGTAATTCACCATATAGTTTGCATTCAGAGTGCATTTCCTCTGCACGAGGAAAGGACCTTCATACAACTTAGGAGAGATGACATACTAAACGACTAATTTCAAGGCCATGCCTGGAGGAAACTGCAAGCTGGTTCTGTGCCTTTTTTTGGCCCTGAGCCCCCTAGCAGTCTGGGTGGGGGAAGCCATGGACCCCTTCTCAGAACAATATCTTTAAGTGAATAAAGTAATTAAGACAAAAAGGAAGCCAGATATATTGAACTAGTCACTAGACTATTAATAACAACAATCATGATACAGTAACACACAGGACCTGGCTTCAGGCCTGGTAATTACTGCCACCTTGAAGTGGAGCTTAGCACGAACAGGACTTGGAGACATCATACAACAGACAGCAGCTGGGATCTCCACTGGTGACAAAGTCATGGGTGCTATTAACGCTGTGCCTTGGTGCCCGCCTTCATATAAGAAGGAAGCACTGTATACAATTAGGGATTAAGAGAAAAGATGTGCCCCTCCCTCAGGTTCATAGGCCTCCTGAGTCCTATCTGGGGATTCCCGACTGGGAGCTCCTGCCAAACGCAAGAGAGCTGGCAACGCACTCCTCGGGCAGAAACTGCTGCTCACGGTCTGATTCAGCAACTAGAGAGGCTGGGAGCAAGACTGGCAGATTTGGCCGTTCTGCTCCAGAAACACGGGCACAACACCACGGAGCACCGCAAATACCTTTAATACATCGTGCACTTTAGAAATAGCCGTCCTCAAAAGCGGAGGCCAGCTGTGCCAACGGCTCCAGGGAAAGACAAGCGAAAGCTCCACCTCAGCAAATACGAAAGCTGAGAATCTCTGCAGAAAAGCCCCAAACGCAGATTTTCAGTTTGACTTCACTATGTCACGGCTTTGTTTTAAAACAGGTCTGTCCCTGAGAGTGAGGAATGCGGTGGAGGGCCTCCTAAGTGTATGGAAATAAGATGCCCCCAGGAGGCCACCGCGCCAAGGTGGGAAGCCAAGAAGAAGGGAAACTGAGGCAGGGAGCACACACTGCTACGTAGGCCAGTCTGAGCTGAGTGTCGTCGGCTCCAGAAGGAGGAATCGGGGGCACCGAATGTTCTTTGCTGCCTTTCCTGGGATTCCTGGACCACCAGTCTGCCCCTTGGAAAGCTTTGTCATGTATCTCTCGTTTTGGTTTCATTAGATGTAGTCAAGCTGAGAGAGAAAGAGTGTGTGTGTTCTAGCCTGAATTTGATATATAAAAGGAAAGAAGCTCACAATTTAGGAAAAGTGGGCCAGACAACTAGGTGGGGAACAAGCAGTGTCAGTAACGAGGGTGGAGGGTGTACAGGGAAAGAGCCCTAAGGAAAGGCCAAATTCCAAAGGATTGAGTGTCACAAACATTGACACCGCCATCCACTCGTATTCATTTGGGAGTGTTTCTCTCAAAAGTTCTCGTCTCCTCAAAAAGACTGTGGTATTTCCTCAAACCACGAAACAGGACCTAAATATAAAAGGTCTTGGTCATTTGTTCTTTGGTCTGTTTGTCCACCCATCCAAATCTAGTAGCTACTAAGCACGTACAATCCCATAACACAAGCTCCGAGTAGATGGCAGAGTGCCCCAGAGAGGGACGGAGGAAAGGAGCAAAGAAGACATGGCCCCCGCCTTCGAGAGGCCTTAGTCTGACAGAAGAAGGTGCAGCGAGGAAGCTCACCAAGCATCATGGGGAAAGGCCAGCAGAGGAGGCCTGCCCAGTGCTGCTGAACCCCAGCAGGGAGGGGCTGACCTGGAAAATCCCCTTCTCAACCGTGTCTCCCTAAACCCCAAGCATGAAACAGATCAGGCCAGAGCTACAAAATCCGATTGCGGGGGGAAATCATTTTGTAGCAATGGAAACGCCCCTCCAGGTGGAGAGACAGACACTTTTTCAGGTCACAGACACTGAAAGCCCCCAAGAGGATGACCAGGAAGCCTAGAAAGAACCAGCAGAACTGCATGGGCAACTTAAGAAATCTGGAATGCACTGTGAGCCCCAAACAGCTCATATTCTAGTACGGTTAGAACAATAACAAGGTATGAATGAGATCTTCCAGACAGCGGAGGTTCCCATGAAATATATCCGTCACGGACACGAGGATAAAAAAAAAAAGGACCGAGTCAGAGAGTCTGCAAAGGAGGAGTGAGTCTGCCGGGAGCGGGCTCGCGAGCCCCAGCTGCAGATCTGATCTAAGCAGTATAAAGAGAAGCCCGCCCACCGCACCTCCCCTCCAGACCCGCCTCTCTGCCGGGGCCCCTGCGGCCCAGCAGGTGGGGAGCAGGGACCCAGAGCGGGCGCTCACCATGGGGAACAGCCCGAGTGCGTGGTAGCGCCGGGATGTGGTGTTGGGCACGGTCTTATTCCGGAGGTTCTTGAGCTCCTCCTGCGCCTCGTGAAGCATCTCCATGCACTCGGCGTACTTGTCCTCCAGCTCGCGCAGCTGCGGGCACCGGAAAGGCATGCAGGCTCAGCGCGGGGCCACCTAGGGCCTCCGGGCCGGACCCCGAAGGGCCCTGGAGGCTCAGTCCGGCTCCCACTGGGGGGCATGCTTCTAGCCTCCCGAGTCCTAATGCATGACCGAGATCACAGGCTTCCAGTGACGGGGTGTGTAAGTCACGGGGGTGAAAGGCATGGTACAGGAATCGTGCCAGTGGGACAGTAGGGGTGTCACGTGGTGACAGATGGGGCAACAGTGTGGTGACCACAGCGTAATGTACAGAGGTGTCCCACCACTACGCTGTACCCCTAAAACTCTTGGAACCTTGTGCCAATGAGACCCAATAAAAAATGGTTATTTTTTTCAAAGCCAACACCCTCATTTCCAGCCACATCTGTGAGTGCGCTCCTTTCCGTGGTGAGCTCCGGGCCATTTCTCTCACCGGACATCGAACAGGAGCGGGCTGTGCAAGGCCTGGCCTCCTGGGTGCTCGCCAGCAGTGATGGAGGTCAGCGGGAATTTACCAGTAAGAACGGCTTTCGATTCAGAGTAAGGACAGCTAGCGAGGTGGAGACGACCCACGGCCCGCCAGACGGAGGCTGAGCACCTTAACTGCGGGGGGGCTGGGCGGGGGGAGCCGCTCACCTCAGCCGTGAGCTGCCGCTGGGCATCCTTAGCAGCCCCCAGGTGCTGGACGAGCTCTTCATTTTCCACCGCGCACTGCAACAGGGCAAAGGCCCATCAACTTCTCCTCTAAGATACCTGGAAACGTCTGACTGCCTCTTATTACCTGGTCTGTTCCAATCCTATCACATTTCTACAGTGACACTTTTATGCCAGAGTCCCATTTTTTCTTTTCTCTAATTCTGAAGGCAGCCTTTCCTACATCCGTGTTCATGCTGGATGGCCCCCCATTCCCCCGCCACTATAGGCACAGCCCCTCCCCAGATGGGCTCCACCTTGAGCTTCTGGCAAAGGCCTGACGTGGGAAATGAAACTGTATTTGTTCTGTTCTTGCTGCTGCTCCAGCTTAAATCTATGGGGGATATGACCCTGCTGCGGGACACACCAGCGTGCACCGTGTAAAAACAAACCCTAGACTAAAAAATTCACGAGTTAAATTCTAGAACTCTGGATCTACGGTACTTTTCTTAATGAATTCTATTGATGTGCAGATTATTTTTAAGAGAGAGGTGGTTATAGGATGCCCTCCCCAGCTCAGGGTGACTAGTTCACTCTGCTGGACTTGCTAATAATTATGCCTTTTCTCCAAAGGGGCGGCATAGACACCTAAACTATGAGACCAAAGGCCTGGTCTTCAGGGGCCAGTGCCATCTGCGGCAGCCAGAGAAACAGAAGCCTTACAGCTTTTGCCTTCTTCTGCAAGTCGACTATCTGTGACAGCAGGTGTGTGATCTCCTCCTGCTGGCGGGCGGCATCCTCAGTCTTCTTGGCCAGCTCCTCTGAGATACTGGCGATCTGCACGTTGGCGTCCCCTTTCACCAAGAAATGACAACAAGAGAAAGTCAGACCCAGAGAGAATGGTTTCTTTGTGGTGTGCTCAAGAAAAGGCATCTTTGTTACCAGACAGGGGGAGGAGTGGAGAGGACAGTGAAGAAGGAACAGTGCCCGTTTTCCCGTACGGGATCAGTCTGTCATGAGAAAGAGGCGTGGGGACCCAGCCCTGCTGACCAAAGCCGCCTCCCTTCCCAGAGAAAGTCAGACAGGCTTGGGGAGTCAGCCAGGAGATGACTGCCCCACCACCCCATGCATCTGCCCGAATCCCCACGTTTGTGCATGAACGGGTCCACATCATTAACAGGAGCTCCCTGCTCCACCCTGTCCTAGAAGGAACTGCTACCGGCACAGTGTAATCCCCTGGAGTGTTTTCAACCCATATTCAGAGTCATAACTCATTTTACTAGATTAGAACACGGGGTGTGTTTCATTTGCTGAAACTCAAAATACTGTTTGCCCTTTTGTCTTAACTTGTAAACTTAACGGTGGAGAGGGCGGGGGGAAGTACTTATTTGCAAAATGGAGAACTCTGGCCTCACCTTTCACCCATCAGTTATGAGAACCATAACTGGTTAGTGTTTGCACATCGGCAGGAGAACTCTGTAACTGGGCTTAACTTAGACTTCACATAACTCCAGTGTTCCAGTAGAAAGCTGGTATCAAACATCGTCTCAGGGAGAAATTAGGACAGGGTAAGACTGACAATCCAGTACCCAATTTCTTATGAATCAGAGTGAGGGGTGCCATGCAAGACAGGGGGGCGGGGAGAGTGTCTCATCCCAATGATGGCAGTTACAGAAAGTAAAAAGAGGGGGTGGGGATGGAGCAAGAGGACCAGGCCATACTCAGTTCCTTCACGCAGTCGTTGACCAGCTGCTGTTCCTTCTCTTCGTAGGTGATGGTCTCCGTCTTCAGCTGGCAGGCCTATGGGTAAGGCTCGGGTCAGAGACCCACAGTCACACCTGGACCGGTGGGGTGGGCAAGGCTAGGGCAAGGAGCAAGGACTAACCTGGGTCTGGAAGGCTTCCCTTCACCCTCTCCCCACCTGCCATCCATGACACCCTCAAATACAGACAGTCCATCAGAATGCCCTGCTCAGTTAAGGAATCTCGGACCCTCAAAGCTGAAGAGCTGAAAACGGTGTACCACCAGAGGGCACCACACAAAGCGATATGCAGTCCGCAAGTGGCTCCCTTGTGTCTGTTCATTTGCATCAGTCCCCGCTCACAGACACAGACCGAAGGTGTCTAGGACTCAGCTCTGCCTATCGTCTACGGATGACCACAAGAATGGCTAACTCTTATCATGTACCTGCTTTATGCAAGGCACTGTCCTATGAGGCCTGAGTTGGAGTTAAATCTACTGTATTTAGCTAAGTTAAAACACCCTATGATACGAAAGCACTGAAATTCAGAGACCCAGGAGCTACCCCAGGACTCTGGATAGCCTGCTCCCAGCTGACAAGGTGAGAAAGTAGAGATCCAAAGGTCTGAAGAAAATATCCCAGGTGGAGAGGAGCTATCTCTGAGCCCTCAGGACCGGGCCCCAAGGAGACACTACACTCCTGGAAACCGAGGTAGAATGGGTAGGCAGCTGGGATCAGATTCCCTCCACCTGCTTTAGGGGAACACTGACAGAGGGACAGATTACCATGCACCAAGGCCTGGGGCGTTCACATGGGACAGGCACTGGCTATTATTCTGGGCAATAGCCCTGGCTTGGCCCCTGGTTATCAGAGAACGCTTGGACAACCCTCTTGGTCACTCTGGGTTTGTGTCTCCCACTAGAAAATAAGGACTAGATGATCTATGGTGTAAGGAAACAGGACCCTTTCCTCATGCATAGCCCTCGTAAGCTCAGACATGAGGCTCTTTTCAACAGGTGGGCAAGTTCAAGGTGGTCTGTCCTACTGCAGGGGTTTCAGGGAACCCTGGGCCAGCTGAGGTGGGCATACAAGCCAAACTTGACAAAGCATACCTCTGGCTAGAGAACATAAACTCACTGATAATTAAGACAAAAAGTATTAAACTTGCACACATTGGTGTTTTTAGGTAGAGGCCATGGGTGAAGGGAAGTAGCAGGTTCAGAGTCACAAAGTCTTACAAATCCAGCCTTTGTCATTCCCTAACTTGCACCACGTTGGCAAATCAAACACCTAGGAGCCTGGGTCCCAGCTTTCTCACTGTAAATGAGAAGCAAAATAACCAGCTTCTAGCCCTGCGGCGAAACTTGGAAAAAACAAAAACAAAAACAAAACACAACTGCTGTGAAACTTGAGGAAAAAAAAAAAAAACCTGAAAAACAAAAAACAAAATACAGGCAAAGTGCACAGCGACCAGCTAGTGAGAAACACTCAAAAGCATGAGTCCCTATGTGGTCCCAGCTCTACCTTTTTATGTTAATTGTCTAAGAAATCTGTCTCCAAGTTCTCACGTACTATATTCCCTTAGAGCATATGTGACCTGCGGCAACAAGCCTCAGTGTCATCTCCATGGCAGAGCTAGAGGACGCCATGAAGAGACACCACCGACGGAGCCTGCCCTAACTGGAGGAGGAGGGGCTTGGCACTCTTGCCCACCCGCACGGAGAATCCCCAAGCCCTCGGTCCCCTGGACAGGTACGTGCTCCCCAAAAGCCAATGCCCAGCTCAGAGGAGGCATGCCAGCCAGGCTCAGGGTGCTGCAGTGAGTGGAGCTCAGGTGGCTCTCTCACAGATGGTCACCCTTGAGAACAGCGCTGTAAGCACAGCTCCTCCTGCCAGATAAGGCAAAGGGGGCCACCACCCTCCAGAGGGAACAAGGGCAGGGAGTGCACTTGACCTCTGATCGAAGTACGACGTTCTCCTCTTCGAGGTCCTTCAGCTTCTTCTGAAGAGAATCTAGATGGAAGTAATTCTGGACGGAGGAGGATGACTCATTCCTCTTCAACCTGGGGGAGAAAGTGCAACTTCGCTCCAGAGAGAGAGACTGGCTCCCTGCACCTGGCCAAGTACCGTTTCCGGTGGGGAGAGGGGTGACCATGAACCATGCAGGGGTGACGGTGGCCCCCTGCTGCCACATAGACTCACCGGCACTCAGAACCCCCATCCCCACCCTCTGGCCACCGTGTGCAGCTGCCACATGGCCTCACAACTCAGCAGAATCGACTATTTGAAGCTGACACACAATTCCGGATGCCTAGAAGTCTATTTCATATTTACATTGCAATTCTGTGTGTCTAGTCCTAAGTACTCTACAGGTATGAAGCCAATTAATGCTCATAACCCTCTGAACCAAGTACTATCAGGATTCCCATTTAACAAAGAGGAAACAGGCACAGAGCAGTTAAGTAACTTAGCCAAGAGCACACAGCTGGGAAACCACAGAGCCAAGGTCTGAACTGAGACCACTGGGCTCTAGAGTTCATGCTCCTGATGTAAGGTTCTGAGGACTCTCTGAGATGTCTCCACACCTTCTGTCCCAGGGGCTCACCGTGGCATCTCTGGCTCCAGAACCCGTCCTATCCTCTACCTAACTGCAGGGCCCACCTGTTACCCATGACCAGGCCGGATCAATCTAAATTGACAAATAACCCTGTCTCTTTCCACGTCCTGCTGAAATCATCCAATCTGTTGGAGGCACATGGAGATGCTTGGTCTGGGGAAGGCCGGGAGCAGTGGACCTGAGCCACTGGGGAAGTGACCCTGCCAAGGCACTGCCAAGGACACAGGTGACAGCCAGCTGCCTGCACCGCGGCCCCAGAGACACGGCCCTCTGTGACTTACGGGGTGGAGCACACGGACTCGGGCTCGCTCTCCTCCGCAGCGCTGGTGTAGAACTGAAGCAGCTCATCCTTCATGGACAGCTCATGCCGGAGCTGAGACACCTGCACAGACACAGCGGGGCCGGGGTGGGCGGGGAGGAGAGGGGGATAGCATTCAGCTCTGAGCACCACAGAGCCCCCGCCATGTCCAGACACTTGCTGCTGGGTGACAACGTCTGTTTAATTCCTCACCCAAAGTGAAGGCGGGTCATCGATTTTGGGCTTCTCAAGGAAGAGAGGTTGCATTTGATCCCACTGAAGAAGAATACAGTCACCGTGTTTTGACAGAAAACCCTCTGCCTAAGTTTATGGTTTTTACTTTGGTTCAGAGAGGAGGTGAGAGGAGACTAGAAGGCTCTGGAATGAGGTTTGGGGGTGGGGGACAAGACAGCATATGGGCTTTGCAAGTAGCCAGATGACCAGCCGGGCAAATGGCCAGAGAAAGAGATCGTGTTACCAAGCGAAAGAAGAGGCCATTCACTTCTGCTGAAATGCAACGCCACCCTGGACTGGGCCCCTGGCGACGCCAGCTCTGGGTGGGCAGCTACGAGCAGCTTGCCCACCCTCGCTGTCATACTTGGGACACTCACAGCTCCACCCTGTGACTGCCGCACTCTCACAGGGCTTGCGGCCAAGCCTGGCCAGACCTTGCTCTGTACTCAGTGACCACAAGACAGTAATTTCAGACACAGGGAGAAAGGAGGCAGCCATCAGGAAGTGGCCATACTGATAACTAGGACAGGTTTTGCAAGTCACCTAATTTATACTTAACATCTTAAGCAAAAAAACCTGTGCCAAAAAAGTTTTCACTTCTGATTCGCAGGGAACCGGTGCTGTAAGCGAGAATTACAATCTGGTTGGCATTCTTTCTGGTTTCTAATTTGATTTGGGGCCTACAGTTGTTCCCAGCTTTCCTACCCAACACAGTGGGTATTTATGACTTCCACAGAGAAGCAAATTCTATGTGCACGAAAGCTTTAGTTCTAACATCTACATTGACAATTTAATGATGTGCCAAAGGGGAACATATTACAGCTTCCAAACTCAAAGCTTTTCCAAGGAAAAAGACACTTTTCCACTTCCAAATAGGTGGGTACTTTCTGTGTGACGTGAGGGAACCCCCGGCAAGGGCAGTCATGTGGAGGAACAGCACACGAGGGACAGTGGGCGACCATGTGTTGGTCCCCTGAGTGGCAGGTCCTCTGCTCCCTAATGCCTGCGAGAAGGGGAGGTCAGGCCATGATGCTGGGTGCCAGGAAAGCAGGGGGCAACTTGACTTCTCCAAACATGACCATATCCTACCCTAACATCTTTCAGAGGAAGCCGCCCAGGGTGAAAACTTTTCTCAGATATTGGCAAGTCTGTTTCATCAATATTAAAACCATTACCAAACCCAGGCAATAATAGGTGGGAACAGCTTCCATGAGGACAAGGTCTAAATAAATCTAAAAGACATGAGTCCGGGCATCCCCTCCCACTTAGAAGGTTTCTGACAGAAAATAAGCAAAACCAGGAGAAGAAGAAGGTCAAGTGAAAGTCCTCACAGCTAAAATCTGCAGTTGAAAGAACAGGATGATGGGGAAGAAGTAGGGCTCAGCTCTAATTCCTAAGCCTGTTCCAGCCACCCTGCCCGACTCGGCAGAGCCTCCCTTGTCCTACCCACACCACAACCTTCCAGAAAACTAGTGCTGCTCCTCCGAAACCCCAGACCTGTAAGATAACCCTAAAGCATTCAGCACCCCAGCCCTGACCACTGATGCCCTTCAGCCAAGGTTTGGATCATGAAAATGACAGGGTTCCTACCGTGACTACAATAGCCTATTTTTTTTCATTTTGTTTTACAAACACAAAATCGTATTGGAATGAAGAATGTGCCGTCGCTGCCCTACTCTGCAGCACGGGCTAGCCTCTTCCCGACAGGGCTCCCCTATGGCCTGCCTGTGCCCACCTGCCCCAGGAACCCCCGCTCACCGCCGTCTTAGCCTGCGTGCACTCCTCACGGGCTAAGTGTACTTCCCAGCCTGTGTGAGGACCTGGACTCTCAGGGCACGGGGACAGGTGCTGCCCCCGCACAGCCAGGCCTGTTGGTACTGGCTACTCTGGCCCTAGTGAGCAGGTGAAGGTTATTCCTACCCCAGCTGGCGCTGTCCACACTGTCTGAAGCAGGTCATGAACAGAAGCAGCAGCAGGAAGGCAGCCTTCTGCCTGCAGGAGGCCACCCCGGAATAGATAGCTCTGGAGCCTGAGCCCAAGCCCACTGGCCCCTAGCCCTTGGCACCAGCTCACCTCCTCCCTGATGTGTTCCACCTGCTCCTCCAACAGCTCGTTCCTCTCCGTTAGTGTCTTGTTCTTCTTCAACAACGACTGGCCGATCCGAGCAGCCAGTTCCAAATCCCGCTCTTTCTATGAAAGGCAAAGGTGAGAACAGATGTTCAGAACACCTGTGCTTCCCAAAGGAGCCCAGGGCGCTCATCGTCAACTGAGGAAAACAGGACATTTCAAACTAACAAAGGTATTAATAACTCACCATCCACGTACCCACACTTGATACCTGTTCAAAGAAGGGGACGCTCTGCCTACAGAAGGTGTCAGAGCTATGCAGACCTCGGGCAATGGGAGACACCCAAGGACTATAAGTCTCTGTTCCTATGAGAGAAACGCGCTTCCAAAAACATTTCTCTGCAGCGGCTTTGGGTGTCTGTGAAATCACATGACAATCTGTCCGCCTGAGGGCTGGGCTACTGTACCCTTACGGCCCAGAGCATGGAAATACTCTGTAGCTGCCTGATGGGTGAATGAATGAGCACAGGAATCCCATGGTGCTCTTGCAATAAAGCAAAGAGCTGATGCAGGGAGGCAGGCTCCTTAGAACATATGAAAGTGGAATTTACAGAGCTATTTGTCTTTACTTCATATGAAACAGAAATGGCCAAAGTTACTCTGAAATCCAACAGCACGTTTCTTTTACTTAATGGAGGGTACTTAGGTTGATCTTTTATTATTTATGTATTTATTTGAGAGAGAGAGAGCATGCCTGCACAAGAGGGAGGATCCAAGGGAGGGAGAAAGAGAGAATCTTGACGCAGACTCTCCCCTGAGCATAAAGCCCGACGCAGGGATAGATTCGGGGACCCTGAGATCAGGACCTGATCCGTGGGAGAAGCCTGCAACTTCTGACCTCAGGGTTGGGGATTTGAGACCCCCGTTGTGTGTAGAGATTATTAAAAAAACAAACTTTTAAAAAACTTCTAAAAATACTTTCAAAATGGAGGGGCGCTTGGGTGGCTCAGTCATTAAGTGTCTGCCTTCAGCTCAGGTCATGATCCCAGGGTCCTGGGACTAAGTCCCGTATCAGGCTCCCTGCTCAGCAGGAAGCCTGCTTCTCCCTCTCCCACTCCCCCTGCTTGTGTTCCCTCTCTTGCTGTCTCTCTATCAAATAAATAAATAAAATCTTAAAAAAAAATACTTTCAAAATGGAGATAGTGCATAAAATCTTGCCTTACCTCAGGGACAAAGACTGTGTTAAGGACACAGAAGTTTTTTTATTTCAGCTGATGATACCACTTATGCCTCAGAACAGTACACCAAGGAAGATCTTTATTTATTTGATAGAGATCACAAGCAGGCAGAGAGGCAGGCAGAGAGAGGAGGAAGCAGGTTCCCTGCTGAGCAGAGAGCCCGATGTGGGGCTTGATCCCAGGACCATGAGATCATGACCTGAGCCGAAGGCAGATGCTTAACCCACTGAGCCACCCAGGCACCTACACCGAGGAAGATCTTTAGTGGCATATAAAGGTACAGCTGTGGGGCACCTTAGTGGCTCAGTCGGTGGGGCAGCCGAATCTTGACTTCGGGTAAGGTCATGATCTTAGGGCTGTGAGATCAAGCCCCCGTGTCAGGGTCTGTGCTCAGCCAGGAGTCTGCTTGAGATTCTCTCCCTCTGCCCTTCCCCCTGCTTCTGTGCTCTCTCTAAAATAGACAAATCTTTAAATAAATAAATACATACATAAATACATACATACATATATATATACATACACATATGGGAGGAAAGATGTTTCCTGACAGTGCAGACAGCAGGACAGACGCCATCACCGAAGGCTGACTCCTCTGTGCTGAGACACTGTTTGCCACTGTGGTTAGGTTCAACTTGCTCCCTTGTGGGTAGGATTAGCAAGGGGAGGGGAGCTCTGGGAAACTAAATCATTTATGAAGCTTGTGCTAATTTCATACAGCTGGTGTAAAAAGAAGAGGAATGGGAATGTGGAGTTTAGAGAAGGAGAAAAGCTGGGCAGGAGAAGCAGATGCCTGGGTGGCTCAGTCAGTTAAGCATCTGCCTTCAGGTCATGATCCCACGGTTCTGGGATCAAATCCTCCACCAGACTCTTGCTCAGCAGGGTAACTGCTTCTCCCTCTCCCTCCGCTTGTGCGTGTGTGTGTCTGTTTGTGCACACGCACACATTCTCTCTCTCTGACAAATAAATAAATAGAACTTAAAAAAAAAAAAAAAGCGAGGGAGGAGCCTTAGCTTCTAACCAGCTACTAACTAACCATATGACCTTGGGCCAATGGCTTCCATTTAACAAGGATCAGGTACACTCTAGGTCAGCTTTTTCCAAACATACATTATAAACCATGAGTAGGTTGAGAATCATTTTTGTAATGGCAACTGATAATTTGTTTTAAATGAAATTCAACAGCACAAGATTGAAATACCAAAGTGCATTCCACATAACGAGGGTATTTCATGTTTATGCTTTCGCTTGTCATATACTCATTTATGGGAGTACTGAGTCGCAACCTGAGATGTGTTTCTTACAGTGGATATTGGTCAAAAGTTTACCTGCTCCGGGGGAACACTGCTCTTCCACAGCGGTGAGATCGGGCTCTGGCTGAACATCCCTGGAACCCAGTTCCCTCCTCTGTTAGGTGGGGAGGGGGTGTGGGGCAGACTGGCTGTTAGCTACCCTTGAAAAAATCTCCTAGCATTATGATTCAGACTTGTACGATATGAAGAAAACAAAAGCACTTTGTATTTCTAACTTTTATATGCCCCCTGAATAATTCTGTGCATGAGCAGCACACGTTCCCCCTTGCTTATCACAGGGATTTCACTGACATAGGAGCCAAGCAATGGAGGTTGAAGTGCCATTTGGGAAGAGTCTAGATGCGATTTGGCACTCTCTCTCGCACAGATGATGGCCACTCCCCCCTCCATTTCCCACAGTCTGGAAACCTGTCACTGCTGTGACCGTAGCTCCAGAAGCCAGCCAGGTGCCACATCACAGGGCCCACAAATACCTCCACCTTATCCCCGCAATCTGAGCCTACCAAGGCACAAGGGGGACCAGGGACTCTAGCCAATGAACCGAGATTTTCCTTTCTGTGAACTCATCTGTGCTTGCCACAGAGTCTTCCAAGGACGGTCCTCTGCTCAGTGGCCCTTCATCACTTCGGAGACTCAACCTAAGTGTTTATGGGTACGTGGAGGAAATGACCCAAAGGAATGGTGGGAGGGAACCTACCTCTCCAGGCTGACTCAAAACCAGCATCTTGTGCAAATGGTTTGGGCTGGCTCTCGCTCACTTAAAAAGGCAACACCAGTGTCAATTTCTCTTTGGAAGCGTGGTCTCCACGCATCTAACTCAAGCCCACTGAATCTACCAGAATAAATTCTCAGACTGAAAACCCAGGAAGCACTTAAGGCCAGAGGCTTCACTGCCTCCCTGGTCTACGCTGCCACCATGCATGGGTCGTGGGAAGTTCGGACAAGCGCAGACATTCCGCATGTCTTGGCCACAGTCTGCATGCAAACCCCATGGCAAACAAATCAAGCAAAAACTACAGTTACGAAAGCCCGCTGGGTAAGGCCAGCTGGAGCACCCGAAGGATGGTGAGGGCTTCCCATGGCACACAAAGGCCAGAGCCCAAGAGCAACGGGCAGGGGAAGAAAAACAAATGGGCTGTGCACTCAGTGAAGCCCCTCGCCCTCCCCATGACACCCAAAACCTCAGACCTGGGGCTCTCCTCACGGTCCCTGCCCCACAGTGGGGCAGCTTTCACCCCATCTACACCAAAAATTGAATCTTTATAGTAACAGAAACATAAACTCTCTGTGGGGGGTAAAAAAAAAGGACAAGAAGTTATAGTAAAACTATTTATGGATGAAATGAAAAAAATTAAACAAGCTCTGTGGTGTCTAAAAGTCATCTAAGGGGAGTACCTAGCTGGCTCAGGTGGTAGAGCATAAGACTCTTGCTCTCAGGCCTGTGGGTTCGAGCCCCACGCTGGGTGTGGAGATGACTTAAAAGTTACCTAAAAATAGTTCATTTAGAAGTTACAGTAACTAAAAACTTAGTGAAGTAGCTCTGGTTTTTCTTTACTAAGAGGACAGACTGGTTGGTTTCTCCTGAACGATGCCAGAAATGAAACATTCACATTTATTACACAACCAGCCAAAATATGGTAAATGTTTATAGCTAAAAACAGGAAAGCAGCTAGGAAGTGACCAGTGGGTTAAACTACAGTGAGCATGAGAGATTACAAATAAAGAATTTAGGCCTTTGGAAATTAACTATTAAAAGAGCAGGGTTCCCTCGTTCAGCTGGGAAATGCAGCCAGGTGGAGGAGCTCATTCCTAGGGCTCGCTTGCTCTGCCTGCCCCTGCTTTGCTTAAAGAGACAGTGACCTGGCTCAGCCCCTTCTGCCTGTGGCACCCCTGCTGTCTGACAACAGCCCTCAGAGATGGAGAGCAGCAAGCCTCCCACACATGGCGGCTGACTCATCTCATTCACCAATCTCAGCATCAAAAGCATGACTAAGGGGCCCTCAGAACAACCCCCTCCAAATGAGGGGGAGAGAGTAGCAGAGTAGCGGGAGGCAAGCTCTGCCCAAAGGTAAATCCAAAGGCAGGAAGCCAAGGAGAGCTGCTGCGGAATCCTCTTCCCCTTAGAGGCAGAAACAAAAGCTCCCCACCCGCCACGGGCTGCGCTTTGGCATCCTGTGTGTAGTACGTGTACACACACACACACACACACACACACACACACACACTCTCTCTCTCTCTCTCTCTCTCTCTCTCTCTCTCTCCCCCCCCCCACCCCCTGACCCTGCCTGCATGTGGCTGGCCTGCGAACCAAAGCAAATGATCAGAGGAAGCGGAACCAAAGCCAAGCCAAGCAGAACACAGCCCAGTACCACGGTCCGGTGACCAACGCAGTTCACCTTTCACCGGGGAACAGCCTAGTTCCGAAGAAAGGCAGTGACTCAGAGGTGGTTCTTATCAGGATGAGGAGAAGAATGGCATTATAAATGAGACACACATACATACAGACCATGCCAGAATGAGCTGCTAAAAACAGAACCCAGAGGGCACAAAGCCACCCAAAGAAAGCGCCCCACAAATATTCTTCTTGACAGCTCAGGTTTTTTGGATTTTTTCTGTTTTGTTTTATTTTGTTTTGTTTTTTTAAAGAGCACAGCCTGCCATCTGGGGAGTGACCCTGGCTGAGCAGATGAGCTGGGGGGACGGGGAACTAGACACCCAGGCTCTGCATGAAGGGCTGCAGGCCCGGCTCCTTTGGGAGCAATCCTCAGACGTCCGAGCAGAGACGGGGCTCCGCACCACCAGTGCCAGCTCAGCAGGGACCAAGCACGGTAGGCGGCGGACACTCACAGAGTAAGCATCCCATAAAAAATATGACCCTGTTTGTGTTTTTATAAAAAGTCCCACTGGCAGCCAATGGACTATACTCCCCACAAAATGAATAGGGCAGTCAACGCTCAAGCCAAAAGCATGAGTCCCAGGTGCTGCAGTTAGCAGCCTGGGGTGCACAGCAGCTGTGTGGCCCTGGGCTGCTTCTGTCCTCTGATTCGGGTCCCTTCACCCAAACCAGGGGCACCCGTGGCGGAAAGCTACCGCAGAACTGACAAGACGCAGTTCTCAGAAAGAATTCACCCTTGATAACAAGCATGACAACAGCAGCAGACACTTGCAAACGGTCTATCATTTCCAAGGTTATAAGGGAAGAGACCTCCCCACACACCCAGCGCCCCTGTCCTGGATGGTCCCCACCTTGGAAAAGCTTCCAGCTAATCTGGCTAGGAGAACAGGACAAAGGGAATTGCAGGATGACTGCCATGCTCAGGGCTCACGGGGGTACAGAACCCCTGGAGCCGTGGTGACAAACATCTCTGAAGGTCCCCATGAGCCCTGCCACACAACACTCAAGGCCAGGAAAGGATGGGGGAGGTCCCTGGTGACAAGCTGGAGGGGGTTTCAGAACGGAATCTGTGTGTAGCTTTGGTTGCCACAGTGAGGACTTCTAAGTGTCTATAAGTATGCGGGGGGGGGGGGGGGGGGCAAAGAGGTCACATGGGCTTGGGATGCAGGCGGCTACAGAGAGAAAAAGAAACCTCCCTCCTGAGGCTCTGTGGGCTGGAGGAGTGGAGTGGGCTTGGAATAAAAAGAACGGTCCAGACAGAGCCTCCTCAGAAGATCTGACAGCTAACAGTGTGGACTGAGGAGTAGATGCTGGAAATACCAGGGTACCCAAACAGCATGGCACTGTTGGGGGGAAAGGACCAGTGGGAAGGGGTCTGTGACGAACCATTTTCAGAAGTCATTGATGCTGGGCACCTGGGTGGCTCAGTGGGTTAAGCCCCTGCCTTTGGCTCAGATCATGATCTCAGGGTCCGGGGATCGAGCCCTGCATCTGGCTCTCTGCTCAGCAGGGAGTCTGCTTCTCTCTCTCTCTCTCTCTCTCTCAGCCTCTCTGCCTACTTGTGATCTTTCTCTGTCAAATAAATAAATAAAATCTTAAAAAAAAAAAAAAAGTCGTCATTGGTGCCAACCAAGAGTCTCCCAAGTGCCTAATGCCAGCCACCATAATGGCAGCAACTGGAGTACCACCAGAAGGCCTCGCAATGGCCCTGTCTCATGGCCAAAAACGTAACATCACTTATTTGGGGCCGACCTGTTGGTAACTGCTGTGACATACAGGTGACCGAGAAGTCTCAGCTTCTGCCCACACGCATCCAACCGGGTCCATGAGCGGAGAAAGGACCGGCTGCAGGAGAAGGGAGGGGAGCGGATGGCTAGGCAGGTGAGCCTTGAGGAACTCAGGGGGTAATCCAAACAGTCCACCCCTCAGAGCAGCCGTGAGAATACTGGATGTTCTGATGGGAAAAATACAGGAGAGGAGATACATAGAAGTGGGAATCAAAGATTCCTCCCAAAACTCTGGGTTCCACCACTCCTGCTCGGTCCTGTGTTTCGACCTTGTCCTACCAGTGGCTGAAAAGGACAACAATGATTTCTTTGTCTCCCACATCATGTTACCCTTTTCCTGGAAGAGCTGATGAATAGTAACATGACCCCAAGTCAACCTTGGTTCCAGAGCAGAAACAAGGGTCTAAGTTAGCACTGGTGCCATTAAGGACAGATAACGTTTAAAGACAGGTACTTATTCAATATACACCTACACCTATAAGAACCTTCTGTGTTCTGGCTGGTTCTAGGCATGGGGGTACATATATGGTGCTCATCTATTTGTAGAGGTATGCAAAGCCCTGGGATTCTCAACTGCCAACAGAATGCTAAGAAGAAACCGAGAAAAACAGAGTCCCTAAAATACCGAAAGCTCATCCACTTCTAAGCAAGTTTCATAATTTTTCTTTCCCACAATGATTTTTGGTTATTTCTATGCTGTGTAATATCCCTTTAACCTGAGGTAAGTTCCAAAAAACTACAAAGATATCATGATGATGTCTTCTTTGGATGCTTTTGGATACCCTTAAAGTATAGCATTACAAAATACTTTCAGGGTTTTTAAAAGTCTTAAATTGGGTCTTCTAGCAAACATTCCTATTTTGTGTCATTTATACATTCCTTTTAAAGACCTAACATACCTTGTACAAAGTTACAGCTACAAAGACCTGTGGAGCTATCAGTTCAAAAAGCAAAGGCACTGCTTTGTACCAACAACCATGTATGCTTTAATCAATGTAAGTTATAATCAGTCAATCATAAGCAGCCCTCGGCCTCGCCAGAAGCACTTACCTCCTCAAGAAGCCGAGTGACAGCATCTATGTCATTATACGTCTTAGTCATCTGGCCAACTCTTTCAGCACATAAAACTGCAAGAAACAAAAGTGGCAATGAGCTACGGATGTCACAAACCAGCCAAACAAATAACCCATCTAATAAAGCGGCCTTTAAGTCAGGCACAAAGGGTCGCTGGTTTGGCCGGGTTCGACCCACACTGCACTCGGCACCACCAGATTTCATTTCCCAGTTCCAGAGAAGAGCCTCGGAGGGACTCAGAGGATGGGGTAACTTCCAATCCTGCAAGGTTCTGACTGTGCGTATGTGTCTGTGTGTGCCACGCTCATGCACACATATAGGGGTGGCATGGGGGACAAGACGCTGGATTAGAAAGGAGTCTGGCTTCATGTAAACTCAGCAAACTGAAATGGGTCAGCAGCACAGCCACCAGTGTGTGAGGGATCAGAAACCATCCCGAGGGTCTAGAGCTCGCCAACCACAGAGACCCAACCGCATGGACGGAGTAGGATCCTTCAGAAACGGGCTACTGGTATAATTATTAAATAACAATCTTAGGGGGTGCCTGGGTGGCTCAGTGGGTTAAGCCTCTGCCTTCAGCTCAGATCATGATCTCAGGGTCCTGGAATCGAGCCCCGCAGGGTCTCTCTGCTCAGCGGGGAGCCTGCTTCCCCACCCCCACCCGCCTCTCTGCCTACTTGTGATCTCTGCCTGTCAGATAAATAAATAAATAATAAGTAAAATCTTATAAATAAATAAATAAATAACAATCTTAGCTGATCATTTCATAATGGTGCAGCCCCTCCCCTCCCCTCTCCAAACAGCCTAAATTCTAAGGCAAGGCAACCAGTTTCCCTACCATGAAAACTAGGGTTGTCGATTCTTTTTAATCCACACCAAAAAGGCTGATACCATTCCTGCCACGGACCAATACACAGCTTGCAGACTGGTATTTCACCACGTATCTAATTGGCTGTGGTCATGAGAGGCTACGCGGGCCACCTGAGGGTGCGTGGGTCTTTGTTCTCCTTCTGTTGGAGTAAAAGGTCGTGCCACAAAAGAACACTTAAGTCTGCGGAAAAATCGCAGGGCGGTTTTATTTTAAATCCATGGCAAGGAATCGATTTGCAATTCCGCAAACACCAAGAAGGGTGTCACAGGTTTTATTCTGTGGTGGAAGGAATGAACGTAAGTCCCTCTAGGACCCAAGTGAAAAATTATTTGAAAGTTGCCACTTCTGCCATTAATATGGTCCCGGTAACTCCTTATAACTAAGATTCTACAAAATAATTCCTTAAGAGCCGAAGACTTGGTTCAGCTTTCACAATGACCCACATTCAGTAACGGCCCAAGCAAGGCAGCTGGGAATCAAGTGGGTTACTAAGCCAACCTCCTGTAGCATTGCTAATGGCAAGCTGCAAGAGGAATGCGATAGGTCTCTAAATATTTTATTAAATGCAAGTAAAGATCACCCTAGTGAATGAGCTCAGAGAAAGCGGATCCGTTGGAATGATTTTCTAGCTTAAGGAGATCTGAAATCTGGTTCCAAATCTGAAACCCCCTTCCAGCTCTCTCCTCCACCAGACACTTCTGTGGGACTGAAGGAAGTACGCTGCCTCGGGCGCTTTCCTTCCCTGGCCTCCAGTGGGGGCTGCCCTGCTAGCAAAAACCAGAGAGCTTCATGTAAGGGTTGGTTTAAACCAGAATTTAACTTGATGGAGGTGGAGGACAGCTCAAACTGCTCTAAATTGTTCATCAACCCAGGGCAGGAGAAATCCTTAAGAGAAGATTCCTGTGCTCCCGCAGGAGTTCGTTTTCACAGGAATGAGGTGGGGGGTACAACTGTGCTCTGCGGCAGCATTGCAGGAAAAGATGCAGGAGGCCCCCCCAGCCTGTTGGCCCCACAGACAAGCATCGGCACACCCAGCTCATTAACAAGAAACAGATCCTAGCAGTAACAAAAGGCCTCTGTGTGGAACCCAATGTTGTGACCAGGGGGCCCTGCTTACTGCCTACCCCAGCCCTTAACTTAGAGGGCCAAGTACTCTGCTAATGTGGAGAAAAAGAAAACCAGGCTAGACTTGAATCGGTCTCCATGTCACCCAAACAGGAGACAGCAGGATTCCAAGCTGCTTTTTTCCTCTGGGATTGTATTAATAAGAAATTACACTTCTATTTTTAGGCGAATTTTTTAAGTTAATCATGTGTAGATAATCACATGCAGATGTATGAAATAATACAGAGGTCCCTAACACCCTTTACCCAGTTTCTCACAGATGGTAACATTCTGTGAAATATCACAACCAGGGCACTGACACTGATACAATCCACGAAGCTAACTCGGATTTCCCCAGCTTAATTCTTACTCGTCTGAGCGTGCAAGCATGCCCCCACATGGGACTCGTAAGCTCTCAACAATCCTATTACTGTGTTGGTTGTGTATCCACCACCACAAAGATCCCTCGTGTTTCCTTTTCTAAAGCTAATTTTCAAAAAGCTTTAATGTGCTTTAACCATTGACCCAATAGTATGTATACACTTGGACCAGTGGGGTTTTTTCCTAGCATGAACCAGATACATATTGTTGCCACGCACACAGGGATAGGAGGGCAGGTGTGACTTTTCACGTTCAGTAAGGGCTGCAGAGTGAGGGAGAGACCTTCCAAAAGTCCCCAGGCCTTTGAGAGAGTCCAGCTTCGGAAGTCAGAAGCATAAATGAAAAACCACTGCTGACTCTGAGCTATTAAAGGATGTGTATTGTTGTTCCAGTAATGCTTTGAAAAATACATGTAATCTGGGGTTCCTGGGGGGCTCAGTGGGTTAAGCCTCTGCCTTCAGCTCAGGTTATGATCCCAGGGTCCTGGGATGGAGCCCCGCATCAGGCTCCCTGCTCAGCGGGAAGTCTGCTTCTCCCTCTCCCACTGCCCCTGCTTGGGTTCCCTCTCTTGCTGTGTCTCTCCCTGTTAAATAAATAAATATATACATATATATTATATATATAATATTATATATAATATTATATATATAATCCCAATGAAGAGAAGATGTACTGATTTATAATAAAAACAGGAAAAAATTAGAAGAGTCATAAAAATATTGACATTTAGATAGCATTACAAATTCAAAATTTTTTTTTTGTAGTGACCATGTACTGATGGGGGAAAAATGACTTAAAATATTTCTCAGAACGTATACAGTTGACTACAATAGAGGGTCCTGGGATCCTCCCTGATGTAACTTTTTAGAGAAATCAGTAACAGCAGCAGCAGCAGACCTTTACTGAGCACATCTCCTATGGCCGGGCCATGCTCAATAGCCCTTTATATGGATGACTGATAAATACGGCAGGATGGGAACTTACACTAACCCCATTTTAAAATGGGAAACTGCTGGGTGGCTCAGTGGGTTAAGCCTCTGCCTTCCGCTCAGGGTCCTGGGATCAAGGCCCGCATCGGGCTCTCTGCTCAGCAGGGAGCCTGCTTCCTCCTCACTCTCTGCCTGCCTCTCTGCCTGCTTGTGATCGCTCTCTCTGTCAAATAAATAAATAAAATATTTTAAAAAATAAAATGGGAAACTGAGGCCCAGAGAGGTTAAGTCACTCCTCTGATGTCATAAAGCTACCAAATGGTGATGTCAGTCTAAGAAGAGATGCCCAACAGGGGCAGCCGTTAACATTCACACAGTTTCTACTAAGTCCGGGGGATTTAATGTGCTTTTTCCTTAATCCTCACCGCAGCCCTGCAGGGTGGGTGCTGTCACGATGACCATTCCACAGATGAGAAAACTGAGATGTGAAGGACCCGACCAAGGTCATGGCTACACAGCAGGACTGCAGGTCGTCGGCCAGTCTGGCTTGCATCCTGAGCTAGGGAGCCATAGAGAACACAAGGGCAAGGCTGAGGCCAGCACACATCAACAATATTCAGGACCCAGAAACAGAGCAAGAAGCATCTGTGGTGTAGGACAGAGATCCCCGGCGCCAGGGCTCTGAGGCTTAGGTTTCCACAGGAGACTCTACCGAGGTCATGAGGCCCTGGACAAGCCCTGTAATTGTGTGTCTTGGGTTCCTCTTCCAAGAAATGAGGGGGCTGGGGTGAGAACAAAGAAGTGGGCAAAGAACCAACAATGCCTTTAAACAGTGAGACAAGTATAGGCTGCACCTTCCAAGCACAGACTTTCTAGATATTCAATCTACAAGAGACCATGGTCCTGTTTCTCTCTCCATGGGAACGACATTCCAAAGGGAGGCTCCAGTTCTGACCAAAGGAGCGCTAGCACATCAATCCACTTCCACTCAAAGGATGTTGAAAAAACAAACACTAAAGTAAAAGCACAGCCATAAACCTCCACGGTAACATGAACAAACTAGGGTCTAAGTCCTAGAAAGAGAAGTTTAACATGCCCACAGTAGCAAAGCTGATACACCATACACACAGCACCCCTCCTGCAGTATCAAACTAACGTGTCTCAAAAGGGCAGCAGACTCTGTGATCACCAGGACGGAAGACCTGCTCCTTCCGAGGCAAAGAGAAAACAGACCACCCACATGCCCCTTCCGGGTAACGCTGGGCCGGGGCCCAGGGTGTGTGAGGCCCGGCAAGTCCGTTTAAGGAGCCTGGGCTTCCATGATGGGACAGCAGAAGCCGTTCTCAAAGAGGAAGTGTCCACCTAAGAGCTGTATTTCAGAAAAAATTCTGGCTACAGTACAGAGAAGTGGGGGGTGGGGGTAGTCAAGGCTGTTGATTAATCCAAGGAAATCTTAAATGGCTGTAAAATGGAGAGAAGTGGTCTCTCTTGCTCAGAGAGTTAAGAGACAGGATGGGATGGGAGGTAAATCAGAAAGACAGGATGTGGGCTTCTCACCAGAACAGAGGGGACACGGGCACTCCACTTCTTAGGCCTACTGTCCCCCACAAAGACAGGTGCATGTGACAGAAGGTCAGAAGCACGACGGGGCGGCCCTAATGAAGTCACTGGCAAGGGGGGCAGCGGCTGAGGTCACTACGGGAATAACGTGTCAGGCAGAGAGCCACACAACCACCTGTAGCAGGAGGCCCACAGCAGCAAGGAATGC